ATCGCGTATTCCCTTTTGCATCCGATCGCTACGCCAGAGCTTCGCGCCATATTCGCGCGCGTATGGCTTAAGGATTCAAAGCGATCTTTGATAGTGTTTATACCTAGTTGAGAGAGAGTACTTAATTGGCACAGACTATGTTCAATCAAGGAGATTCGACTCTCAACTCTCACCCGGACCGTAGTCTTTTCCAGCAAACCAATGGCGTCCTCGGATGAGGGTCGCTAGAGTATACGGTCTGAGCGAGAGCTGAGATTCTATTTTTTCGGCCATTAGCGAATCGTCTGAGCTGCCGCTTTTGCAACGAATTTCTCAAGTTTTCTCAATCACTCTACTCCTGAGAAATTTGTTTATGATAAGAGATCTGAAAGTACCAAAAACGCCCCTTGACATCCCCCTCGACCCTATGACTGCAGCATTTATCTCCATTTTAGCACCATAAGTCTGCCTCTCGTGCCTGTGATTGACAGTCTGAAGGAAATTCTTTCTAAGTCATCTTTACGAAAAAATCGAACATATTATCGCACAACTCGCTTTACGCTAGGATTGTCGTGTGTCCAGCATGGCGCACGCAGCCGCACCTCCAGCAACAGCAGCACAGCACATAGACAAGACCACATGACACATGTTACGGCTCCATTCATTTTCGCCACTCATTAGCTCGCTGTTTCGTCGAACGTCCGCGATTGTTCGATTCGAACAACCTGCAAAGCCTTGATGTCGTGTGGAGCACTTTGTCTTTAAAACTTCAAGTCTTCTCCATAGTTACTTCCTGAATGCTCGAAAGCGCCGGAATATCATATTACTATGGATCAGTGACGGTTCGAAAATTTCTGAGGAAGCGCAACGAGAACTTTTTGGAACGGAAGGGCGTGGCACTGGAACGCCATCGGAGAAATTGCTCGGGATGCCCTCCAACATTTTCAGAGACCTATAACTCCAAAAATAAAAAAGGAGATGCTTCGCAGCTACTCCTCAATTTTTTTTCACAAGGCTACCTCAAATTTTCAAACGAAAAATTATAATACTTGAGTCCTTACAGATAGAAAGCAGTTTTGCATATTTTCTAACTCATTTAGACCACTTTCAAAAATCACACTACCCATTCTCGAGCTAGAGGGCGCCCTCGATGCGACTCTGCTATGCATGCGAAACTTGGTCGAGTTACCTTCACGTGATTTTAAGTTGCTTGAAAATGAAGGGTTGAAGCTTCTTCTGAGTTTACAGCAGAAATATCTGTAGCTTCATGGGTACATCATAAAATAATTATTCTTCCTGTAATATAGCTCACTGGATTTTGCTGGGTAAGGTCAAAAACAGCTACTACTCAATAACTCCCCTTGAAATCTGGGAATAATTTAGGGTATAAAGTCCATGAACTATGTGGGAGGGAATTTTTCGTAAATCACTGAGGTTATGTAGCAGACAACTCCAGTATTGTCGAAACCTCCAAAATCGCTAGACGCTGCCAAATTATGTGGCTTTCACTGAAAAGTGAGGAATTGTCGGATTTTTACCGTCACTTTACTGTGAGGTTTGATATTTTTACGGCCCGCATGCCTTCTAACTCCGTTTTTTTGTTTGACATTTGGCAATAACAGACCGCTGAAATCTTCACCTCCATCAAGCATACATTTTATTCGCACTGGTTGGCTATTTATTTGACTTCAGCTTTCGGTGACTATAACAATATTTTCCAGATAAACCTGCTTTTTTGTGTAGTAATTCTCATATGCTCTAATACAACAGAAATGTAGTCGAGATATTCTGTATTACAAACAGTAGTGAGAAGCTGAACTACAAGTACAACCAGTAAAACGCTTTGGCGATTTTGAATCATTGCTTGGACAGCTAATGCCCTATACCACCCTTACATGACTTTTACTGCTATCCTTGTGTTGAAGGATTCGTGGCTTCCAGACTTCTCTTCATTTTAGTGTACCTCTTCTCACAAAATCTTACATCTTGCTGTAAGCTAAATCATTTTACTTGTTTGACCAAAACTGGAGAGGTTAGGAGGCGCGCTTTCTCCGAAGGTCACCAATCCAACCCGATTTAGAGCTACGCGATACAAAGAATACCTGTCAAGTTTTCTAGCTTACTCGCTTTTGAAGTCACCACTTTCTACGTTTGACGACTTCTGGTGAAAAATGATGGAAATAATCACGAAATTGCCATGAATTGCATTTTCATGGGTTTTTACCTCCGACACTTTTGTTTTGCATCTATTTCAAGATAAGAAGATTGAACCGACCACGCAACGATTTTCGATACTTCAAGATTCAAAAGTCCAGAGTTTTAGCAAACGTTAAAACTGCGCTATGTGGTGCCCTCTGACAATAAAAATTACGTATCTTGAAAAACACCCGACCAAACCTGCCACAAAATTCCTTGGACATATGTCACGGAAAGTGCAAACCAGCAAGCGATCGTACGACCCAGTTAGCTTTATGTGCTAAGCTTGGAGATGTCAGACATCAAGCTATGACCTCAGTCATATACATCTTCTTCCCACCTCCGCAACTGTAAACCTCATGCGTCTTTCGTTCTTCAGTAACTTCGGTAATTTGTCATAGCATTTTACATCCTAAGATAAAAGTTTAGGAGATGGGTAGACGTTCTTACCTTTCTTCATGTTTGATTTATTGCACTCAATCATAAAGGACTCACCAATGATCCCATCGAGTCACAGTCCTTCATATGCAGAAGTTCTGAAAGGTATTAGACGGTTTGTTGTAATGTGAGCCTTTTGGTTATGAGGAAAGCGCTTGCTTTCTACTAATCACTTTCAAACTGCCACATACAGAGCTATTTCATGTAACCTGTCCGGTTGTACTTACACAGATTTACTCTCAGAAAAGCGACTCCATGGTTGTGTGATCGTTGAAGATGTCAGTAACTCTGTTGTACTTATACATAACTTCGTGCTACTCAGCTATCCTGAATTCTAGCCGTTAATCTCTGAAAATGCTCACGAATTTATGCTTGATACCAAAATTTAATCCGATTCAATATAATCATGATACAAACATAAGTGAGCAACTTACGCATTCTCTATCGCTTCCTATCACTATTTCACATCAATCTAAATGCAAATCATGTGTCAACTTCTTCTCGTTGAGACGCATGAACATTGTAACAGTGTGTTTGCCAGAAATTAAATAACATTTCTTCGCTGGAAAGCTTCAAAAAAGGATGTCATCAATCTTACATCTCAGTGATACATAACCATTCCGAATGAATTCATGCCAGTTTCTGAAAAAAATGTTCATTACAACGATCTATCAACCCCGAGCTCCAGTTATATTACTATTTTCTCGTTCGTATTCACGGTAACTTTCTTTGCTTGCAATGAGAAAAGAAATCCGGAAGAAAAGCGATCCTGATTTTGCAATATACAAAATTAGTCGTACCTAGTAGAATGCTTTGCCATCCCTTACAAAAATCGTTCACTTATTTCTGTCGACTACTGCAACATGTGCATCACTAAAAAACAGCAGTCGTGTGTTGTAGTCTTCTAGAACCTGCCATCTTGCGAGTGAGGTGCGATACTGATCATATGACAAGCTCTTCGTAGCATTTCAACATGCGCAGAACCTTTTTATGATAAGCACAAGTTACTTTTGCCAGCCTTGAGTTCCAAATAGCCTTTAACAAAAAATCTGTCCGAATACTCTAACTCTACTTTGTCTTAATATGCACGCATTCTGGTCGGTAATGATTCACAGTTTGACCTGAGAGTTACTGAGAATGCCGCAAATATGGTGACACTCTTAATGTTGAGCTTCAACACTGTCGTAAGAATTGTGCAGTGTACTTATACTGTCCAAGGCGTACAAATTGTCGACTCTCGTATTTACGACATTTCCATGTGTAAAGTATTCCCTACATCTTCTGCTAAATGCCAAATCTTGCGTTGCTTCCATATTGTCTTATGGCTCCCACTATGATGAAAAGGGCAGAAACCGTCTTCAAAAGTAGTTCGCGAAAATTTGTTATGCAGTTCTAGTCAAGGATGTCAAACTTGCAACTATCAAGATTCTGTCCGACGTTTTTGGCAACTACGTTCGTCTGTCCTCCCCGCTTCGATGTGGGCTATAACATTAACGCATGCTTTAAAAAGTTACGAGTTCCGGGAAAGAACCTAAAAGTCAACAAAGCTTCTAGGAATGAAAGCGGAAAAGTTGTAGTTGTAAAATGAATAGTGATGGATGCACAAGCGCGTCCAGGTCATGCATTTGGATATCTAAAGTCACTTTGGGATGGAATGGATGCATTGATAGTTATTTAGCTGTAATCGAGCTTCTGCAGGGAAAGTAACCCATATGTGACATGACATGACCGAAGTTTATTCTGGAAATCCTGTGATCATCATCACTTGATACAAAAATGCCCAAAAATTTCTCAATGATTACTTTGGCTATATTCAAGTCACTTGGTCTCAAGTAATCGAGTGATGCTAAACGGATCGGATATCTCATTCTGTCATTCACCGCTAATTGAAGCTCCAGAATTTTGAAGATGCGTAATTTTCGAAATTATTTGCTTCCACTATCTCAATCACAAGTACCCCTCTGTTGCTTAAGTCTGTCAAAGAAATTTAATATTCTAGACATATTAAGACGATTATTCTAAACTTTATTGATCTGCATCTTATTGCTATCGTAGGTGAGGGCCTCAGTAAATAAACTTTAGTAAATTCGAAAAATTTGTGCATTTGCCATGAAATCTTGTACTCCATCAGAACAAAAGAAATTCCGCTTATCTCATTCTTATTCTCGCATTTCTCATCTTTTGCGTGATTTATCTAGCATGCGATTCAAGCGGATGCTAGGGCGGGTCACATATTACACAGCCCTATGCTAACTCAAACGCCAGCTTCGTTAGCCAATAGCCTCATTATCGCCTCTCACCCATTTCGTCGCTCACTTAAGTTTTCCGTTGCGGATAGGTCTTGAATTGACTTTAACCTACAGTATAATACTGCAAGTGTATTTGCAGACTAGCACCGCTAGTTCAATTCGATCGGTAGCGAGATCGCAATAGAGGGGCAGAGAGCGGAGAGGACGGCGAGCGATGGATCGTCGCCCGACCGACGACGCCGATGGTCCACGTCGCTCCGTGACGCGAGAGCTTCGCGTGGATACCGATGGCGACTGGCCGAGTATGCCATCGCCAAGGCGAGCAGCCACCGCTCCCAGTAGTCCTTCTACCGCTTTTCGAACAGGTAATATATTTGTGATGACAGTGTACTATTTGTTCCAATCGGGATGATTCCAAAATTGGCCTGACGCGCGCCCGCAACGTCGACGTTACGGCGCGCGTGCGGTTACAATATCTGGTTGGCGATGCGCGCCGACCATATTTTGTAGCTACTACACTATTACTTTGCGCGCCCACTATAGCTCACTGCGAAAGCGCAATTTCACCAGCATTTTGGACTGATCCCGTTTGAAATAAGAAAGAGTAGGTCAGATTTGCGCCCGCGACGAGTAAAGGAGAATTCCCATTTCAGATCGGGAAGCGATCTTTCGTTCAAGAAACAACACAACGGTGGCGGAAACGCATCTTATGCGGTCGAGCGGCTCACATTCTGACACATTCACTGAGGAGCACTGGGATAGCGAAATCACGAGTTTTGTCACAGCAGCTCCACCAAAATTTATTCAGGTACGTTCATAAAGGAAATTAGAAACAACAAAGGAAGAAGTTCAAGGTCTGAACCAAAAAGAAAGTTATTCTTTTGGACTTTTATAGCAATTCTCCATCACTCAAAATTAGTTGCTCGAGATATTTTTGCCTTGCATTTTATCCGCTTCCTATGCATATTGCTAAAAAAATACTTATTTTATTCCCGTTACTCTTGGAACCAAAGAACTTAATGCATTGATGTTTGTAAAATGTCATGGAGTGAGGGGGGAATTTTTCAATAGGCGAAAAGATTGCAAAAAGGATGGTAAAAGAAAAGAAAATTGCAAATTACAGCCATAGCCTTTGTCATAAATCTGCTTACGCTAATTGCATGACTCAACGAACGTAAATATTATTATGAATCGCTGCATTTTTAAGGATGAATTTTTACAACACCTTTGCAAATTGAAAGGTGAATTGTAATGCTGGCGTACATCACTCCAGCTTGAAGCCATCTTGCCTGAGGCCATTTTTTGGCAAAAAAAAATTCCAGCAACAGATGCGTCAGTATGTCGGGTGGTATGCACCGTATTACAATATTGAGTGTAGTGCAAAGCACTCAAATGCTAGGGAGTTTATATTTTTAGGCTCATTTTTACTAGAAACTTGTAAAGATTTATGGCGAGTGTACTTGTTTCGTGCAGACTATGCTAGTTGGTTTGCAGCTGCGTTCACATGGGGGAACAATGTACAGTGTTAGAAATAGTTTCATGACAAGGGAACGAACAGACTGAAAGGAATAGTTTTAGACTATGCTTTCTACTAACTCAATGTAAATTATGCACATTCTACTCGTACCGGGATGATTACAAAACTGAACCGGCAGTCTCAGACGCAACATGACCCTACTGATTAAAGGCAGCGCCCAGGCAAATCTGGACATATGGGGATCTCACGTGGATAGTAATTTTGGGTCCTAACCAAGCCATTGCCTAACCTGCAGCTCAGGTGGCTGAGATATTCCCCTCGAAACTGGACCACGCGATCGTATTTCGCTTGGATTCATGGAGCAAAACGTGGTTCGTGGCGAACAACAGCCATGAATCCATGCGAATACGATCGCGGGGCCCGGTTTCGAGGGGAATATCTCACCCGCTAGAGCACCTGCGCTGCCGCTTGAGCAGTGACTTAGTTAGGGCCCCAAAAGTACTTTCCACGTAAAATCCCCATATGTCCAGATCTGCCTGGACGCTGCCTTTGAGAGAGTTTAGTGCAAGCATAAAACATCTTTCTCTAGATGTTGCGGTACAGTTTCACAATGATTTCAAGCCGTGCCTACGTTTGTGAGCATGTCTTTTGAGGATCTAATTTTTATGAGTAATATTACCAAAGTGGTCTTAAGTTTCTCAAGTACCGACAGACAGCGCAGGGAAGTAGCTCATCCGCAGCCGCCTCCTTAAATCCTTCTCGAGAATGACTCTAATAAGAAAACAATTTGTAGGATTCAAATTCTTCCAAAGATTAAGGTACAATTTGAGAATCACCTTGTCATGGAATAGTATATAGTGTTAGCAACATTAGCAGAAATCTAATTGAATTTTAGTTCAAAGTCCGCATGTACAGAACTCTAAGTTTTCAGGTAATCAAAGCGTACCGTGTGCTTTCAACCGACACACCTACATTGGTTGTGGAGGTAGCTTCAGATCCACCCGCGATATTCGAGTGGTTCTGTAATGACAGATCAGTCCAGCAGGTAATTTTTTCAATCATGCCTTCTCACTGACAATGAGATTAAAGAATGAATATTCAGGACAAGCGACGCTTCCAGGCCCGTCACGGGCTGAACATTACCACATTGACAGTTCATGATCCAGAGCAAGGCGTTTATAAATGTACTGCTCGTAATCCTGCTGGAGTCAGTACTAGTTATGGATATATTACTGTTAACTGTGAGTAGAATACTGAAAAAACTGTTTGATAACAGCTCCGGGTATGATTGGCTTGAATCTTTAGTTGAACATCAAGACAGTGGATGGACTGTAGTAGAGCGAAGTATGGCGAAGGAGGAGGGCCAGCCTACCATCACCGTACATCGCTCACCACGATTCACCAGTCAGGTACGGTAGCATTACTGTATAGGAAGTCGTGTGCTGACTAATAATCTTCCAGGTACCAAATCTTACGGTACAACCTGGAAGCAATGCTATTATTGATGTTGAAGTTGATGCTAATCCACCAGCTCGGTAAGTCTACACAATGTGATTATCCTAATTAGTTGCAATGTCTTGTTATTCTTATTTTTTTCAGATTCTCGTGGTTTGTAAATGGACACGAATATCGGGAAACGTGCAAAGATGTTGAAATCACTTATCCATCAGCAAATCGATGTGTTGCTAAGTTCATGCTCCCAGTGCGTGGAGAATACAAAGTAGTCGCTTCAAATGTCCATGGATCAGCGATGAGTAGCGGCTATATCGATATACACAGAGGTCAGTATGACAACAGGGGTGAAGAAAACTGGAGATGAAATGCAAAAGATGAAGAAGGATAATTCTTATCTTGGCGGTTCTAGCATGATTGCATTTACAAAATTACTACCTGAAGGCATTTTTGCACGTTAAATTAGTCCTACCGTCTATCCCGTATATCCCGTATCACTTCAAGAATTACCTTATCCAGAGAATAGGACATTTTTTGAGGATTGCATGTCTCAATTTTTTACTGCCAACTTTTCTGCCATGCAGGATCCATGCAACCCTCCTTGTTCCCCATGATTACACGCAAACAAATCAAACCACATGAAGGAAAAGGTGTATATTCTTCATCCTTGTTTATGAAGAAAAAAGAAAAGTTCAATTTTAATCTCTCCATATGTAAATTGCTAAAATGATTAGTCAAAGGCAGAATATCCTCTTGTTACAATTTCCATGTTCCGTTACCAAACCTGGGCATTTGTAAGTGTCGAATGCTGTAGAACGAGTTGTTAGATGTTCCTCTATCCGTCAGTCGCTGCCTTAAGTTTCGACTCTTTCGTCTTCATCAGAAGCCAGAGAATCACCGCTTCACTAGATGTCCGTACCGAATGATGGTCGTGACGGACGATCGTCCAGTATCTGAGATGGAAGCGTCGAAACGTAAAGCCGTAACTGATCAATAAAGGACCTCCTAACAGTCTGTTCGGACCAGCAGTATTTGACACTTATCCTTTTGTTTTCACAACTAGCTCATTTTCCTAGTTCAACCCACCTTTTCAGCCAAACCAGCACGAACGATGCGTCCTCCAGTAGTTCCTGGAGAGCATCTTGCGCGGAATATCATGTCAGCCAGTCATCATCAAGGAGGAACTGCTCCTGAAGGAGAAGATATGGTCACAACGCACCAGGTAAGACAGAGCCTTCAAAATTATGAACAATTTAGGTCACTGATTAATGCGCGAAAATGGGAATGGGATAGATATGGAAAAAATGCAAAATGATTTTTACTTGTTAGAATGATCGATAACATAGCATTTTACGGCCTTATTTCTTTGCAACATTTTTCTGCAAACTTTACAAAAAATAACAACCAAAGAAGCAAGCAGAAAAACTTGAATGATGTTGCAGACATATGATCCGCGTCAAAGCGCAACTGTCAGCTGTAAAAGCTTTCAAGGCGTAGGATTAGTCGACATAGCTGCGTTCCTCGTGTAGCTTTTATAAAAAAAGTGATTCCTCTAAATGAGGGACGAATTCATAGATGCATCTGAGCATGCCTCTCAGGCAGTTTCGATAGTCATACTAAACATGCTCTGACGTCAAACTTATGTCTGATGTTTCATGTGGTTTCGATCCTAGAATAGCGGAAAAACATTTGTAGATCATCAAATTCATGTATTTACTGCTTGGTTACACACCTCGAAATACACTAGAAACATGTGGTAGTCGAGTGTAAGTCCAGCTTACTTCGGGTTGAGAAGATATCAAACCTCGCTGCTTAACTGACATCGTTAGATGAAGATTTAGTGACAACTCTTACAACAAAGTAAACTCAAAAAGGCCATTTGATGAACGGTTCTCCGTATCATCGGCGTCAATGATTTCGAAACAGCAATAAAAATTTCGATTTTTTCCTCATAAATGATCTTCTGTATCAATACGGTAATAACAGTCTTCATTCTCTGAATTCCATTTTTGAAATTTCACGCCCATAGCACCCCCCGCTTTTCAGTATAAACTGTTAATGCTGTTAATCAATACCTATTCTCCTACTTTTTATGAAAGAAGTCGTTCCTGTAATTATATAATATATAAGGTGCTGAAAAGAAATCCTCATTTTGCACACAAATTTCGAAGATTTGAAGCGTTTTCATAACATGTTTTTCCTTTCGTCTAAAAACGGGTGAGGCCACTTGCACACACCAAGCCTCATCTGGTAGATGATTTATTTCACGGAAGGAAATGCTCGCAGGCACAGTTAAGGGAAATGAGTAGACGCGACCTATGTAGGAAATATTCTATTCACTGTTCATTTACTTAGTACGCACAAAGTTCAGAACTGCTAAGAAGTCGAAGCAACCTGAAGCTTAAGTTAGAGGATGAGTTTTCTATGAATCAAAAAAGCAGGCACTACAAGACCACAGCACTTACGTAAATTATATATCCGAAAAAGATTTTGTGTTCGACATTGAAAAAACGTAATCGAAAACAGAAAATTGCGACTCCTATTCAATCCAACTCTGAGATAAACCTAGACTCAACACATAAGAGTGTCAGTGAGGGTTTTTATAATTTCGTCTAGCCTTCACCTTCAAAAGCGCGATCTGGCATAATTTTAACTTTCCGATGGGTTCCCTCTAACGAATGCTCACGAATTTTGGTTTACATGACTCCCACCATCTCTTGCAGCGTGAAGTTTATGTAGTCGGTGTGATCCGTTTGAATGGAAATACTGAAGCTGCTGCAAAACCAGCGACGAGAAAGCTCTTACAAGAGAAGGAACTTGACCGTGCCATTTCGTATACCATCAAATGCACCTTAAAGCGCCGATTCCAAATCTGCTTTCAAAATCCGCTGTGCGCTCTTTTGAAAGAAGTATAAACGATTTTACCACCAAAATTTGCACTGTTACGATGACAATCACCAATATCTAAAAGCAGTGCTCAGGCAAATCTGGGCGTATGGGTTTTTTTGCCTGGAAATCGATGAGGAGGTCCTATCTAAGGCATTGCGCAAACAGGCAAATAATTCATTCACGATTAAGAAATCCATCTCCAAACACTCCGTGACCGTAACACTTAGGATGGATCCCAGCGCGAACGTAGTGTTAAAGTAAGCGAAGTCGCTTTCGGGTTACGGTCACGGCGCGGGCGCGGCGTTTTCGGGGACGGATTTCTCAGCCGCGAATGAACAATGCGCTGCCTCTTGGGCAGTGCCTTGGTTAGGACCCATCATCAATTTCCAGGCGAAAAACCCATGCGAGATGTGCCTGAACACTGCCTCTAAGCTCAGAACGACTGTCTCCGATAAATCGGAGCCAAGTCCATAACTTCGTTCAGAGAGTCGCACAGCAGACAATGAACCTAGAGAATAGCGTTTGAAGGGCATCTACGGTATACATCTTGCAAAAGGCGATGGTCACCAAGTAACCTTCCCTTGTCACTTCCAGGTTGATAGAGACACGATCAGTGTCCTGAGATTAACGTCATAATGCTTCATACATGCTCACCAATGGGTGGTCCTAGAATTTTTCGGGAGGGGGGGGGGGGGAGGGAGCGCGAAAGGACTTTTCAATATTCGAGACAGCTATGATCTCGAAATTTCTCAGAAAGCTAAGTTAATTTCTTATGGACATTGAATCTTTTTGACTAATCAAAAACAAGTTATTTGCATGATTTCACCTAGACTTCCAAGAACTCCAGCCCGTTCTGGCTTTACTCTAATTATTTTAATAGTATAAACTAACATTTACGAATACTATATTGAAAGATTCTTGTTCCGCCATCACTGGATATTTATTATGATTGAAATTTAGACTGTGAACGTCTATGAAGTGAACTATGCGCAACGTGCTTCAAGTGTACCTCGGGGAGTTCGACAGTTGGAGAGCCATGTCGAAGTCCCACACTCATCGCAACGAGTGATATCGCTCGAAGAACGCCGCTCAGGTCTGTGCACATCAGAACTATTTCGTGTTCCTTCTTGCACTTTCGCCGTGATTTTCCTCATTCACACAGTATCCTTGGTTTCACGTTGTGCATGCTTTAGATAGGATTTAGATTTTTCGAGTCAAACAACTTACTAGGTTGGCCCAGGAGACCAATTTCTCAGTTTTCCTTCTTTGTTTTGCTATCTTTCTGCGCAGTCAAGTATAACTGTAATCAACAAATGTGTCGTCCCGCCGATGCAAAAATGCTAAGGCCCTCAAGCCAATGAGGATGACAATGTAGTGTGGTGGGCGAGAACCCGAAACAGCGGACTAATGGTTCCCTTCTATTACATTGGAGTAGGGGCAGTAGAAATTAACATAGACGATAAAATCAAGAGGAAGTAGTGAGCAAAAAAAGAAAATCAGGCCTAGTGCAGAACAACTTTTTTGGCATTCATTCTCATGAAAGCAACAAGGAATGGAGGAATAATCCTTCAGAGAAACGGTTTCCTTTTGGAGACTTAACGTCCGGAACATTCTTAAGATTTTTCAATGAGATCATCCGCCCATATTTGCTTTCATGTTCCATCATCAGATAAATTAGCCTTACAGTTGAGTGTTATTGAGGGGAGTTTTTGCTGGAAATGATTGCCTTATCTGCTCTAAAAATTTTCACAAGGAAGTGAGATGCCGTTTCTTGGGTGTGTATGCGGACGAAACGATGTTATAAGGAAGACCCCGTACAACATTCATGCGTTTTCTTAACCAATTTTAGTCTATCCGTGAGCATCTGGATCAAAATCAAGCTCCCGGTCTCTAATTGGACATTGATTGACAAACGTCATAAACAGCGCCCAATCTGGCGATGTCCGCTCCTTTCGATTATGAAATTGGACTCAGAGATTGAGAGATTTTCAAATAGCGCCATAGCGGTGAACAACCTGATATACCTTTGTTACAAGTTATGCAAAACAGGATGTTTTCTTTTTTGTTGCAAATAGCTCAAGGTGTAGGCCCATTTCGCACGACCGCAATGTCGCCAGGGATTTTCCATACAAGGACGCAATGCGCGCGGCACCCTTGCGATGGTTTTCGTCCAAATGATTACAGAAGGAGTATTTGCTTTGCTTTGTGCTCTCATATTAGGACTAATCATGCAAATGTCTGTTGGGTACTGTCGTGCGAAAAGGCCGTCCTCTGAGTTTTCTTATGTTATACACATGTCAAAGCGTTGTGTTTCCTTTTTGTTAAACAACTTTGCGTTTTCGTATTTGCTTATACTATTAAGAAATGAGAAATGGTATGACAACGTGAATGGAGCGCTAAATCTCAGCGAAAGTTGCTTGACTCGAACAGTACTTACATAGTGTGTGAAACTAATTCCGTTTCAGAACAAAGCAGCAGCAGCGCCAGGCTCCCGGAACGCCTACCGCGAGCCTTGTTCAAAACGCGCAGTGAAGGTGCTGCTCGCTATCTGCCCCATGCACCGAAATTCCGCACCACCTTGCCGTCCCAACTATCCATCAATCCGAACGAGAAACTCGTCCTCTCCGTGACAGTTGACGCTATCCCAACTGCCGAATTTAAGTGGGATGTGAACGGATTCGAAGTCCGACCGTCAAGAAATGTCACCGTACTAAGCGAACAGAATAGGTCGACGCTGGTAGTACAACCGCCTGTCAAACAGGGAAAGTACAGCGTGACCGCATTTAACGAACAAGGCAGAGAAACACTGCTTACCAAGGTGGTACATCTGTACACGGAGACGAGGACAGAAACAACAGAAAAACCAAAAACACTGGTCGTACCCGATATCGTCGAGACCGCAGTGACGGTGACAAGCGCAACCGAAGAGTGGGAGGTGATTGACGGTGTCGACTCGCCTCCCTCATCTTCCTCGATTAAAACGGTCAAAATGAGAGAACCGCCGCCTTCCGTTGCACATGAAAAAGTAGAACTTTCCGTTCCAGTCACTCATGTACCGATTCAGGTGTCCAAAGAGGAGCCTAAAGTTGGTGTCAAATTTAAGGAGGAGGAAGAAACTAAAATCACTCAGCAGGAATCGGTCGTTACGACAAGGTCTGTACATATTGGCAAGCGAACTCAAGAAATCATTCCAAAAAGGCCTATATTACTCTCAGCGCCCAGCCAAAATGTCCATGTACCTTCAGGAGAGAAGTTAGTGCTAGAGTCTAGAGTAGACAGCATTCCACCGGCGACGTTCCGCTGGTATGTGAATAATTTCGAGGCCAAGAACTCCCAATACATCTCGATAGTCGAACCGGCTGAGAATGTGAGCGTGGCCACGTTTGAACGACCCACAGCAGGGCTTTACAAGGTAGTAGCAGAGAATCCACTAGGTGACGTTACCGCTTTTACCAGGGTTACCACGGAGACGGTCGTGGAAGAAGTCCACGAAAGAACTACGGTTACCTCCGCGACCAAGCCTACGATGTTCACCTTGCCGAAGAAGATAACTATTGCAGTTAGAGACGATCTGCCGAAACCGCCTCGTTTTAAAGAACGGCTCCCTGTGTCGCTGAAAATACGCTCGGAGCAACCTTTGAAGTTTAGAGCCGCTGTAGATGCTATTCCAGAAGCATCATTCATGTGGTTGTGGAACAACTTCGAACTGAAACGAAATCAAAACACTGCTATTGACAGAGTGGCTCAAAATGTTTCAGAGTTGAATTTGCAGAAAGTTCAACCTGGAAAGTACGAAGTTGTTGCCAGAAATGATATGGGTCAAGATTCATGTTCTTGTAAAGTAATAGTGGAATATGAACAGAAAGCTCAGCCACCTCCTCCCCCTCCAAAAATTGTCAAAACCCTTGAGGAAGAGACTTGGTTTGAGGAGGGCAAGGAGACGAGGCTAGAAGTTGTGGCATCAGGATCTCCTCCGTTCAGTTTTATTTGGTTCGCGAACGGAGTACAACTAGCAAATGATGGAATGACACAGATTATAGTAGAAGGCAATAGATCACTACTTGTTATGAGGAGGGAGTTTGAAGACAATACCGTTATTGCCGTGGAAGTTCATGACCATTACGGTAAGAATCGCTCGCAGACGGTTATAAGGAAAGTAATTCGTGAAGAGAAGCCTATGGAGAAGAAGAAGGAGATGGCAGCAGAGCTTCCGATCAAAACTGAAACGAAGACAAAAGCGGAGGCGAAGGAAGTGATAAAGGAGGAAATGAGGGCTCCAACACCATCGAAACTTCCCAAGTTTGTGAAAGAACTTGAAAACATGGAATATTTCGACGGAGACACACTCATAGCGACTGTTCGTCTTACTGAAGACAGCGCTGACTGCACTTTCGGCTGGTTCGGTAACGGAATTCACATCGTTCCTGACGACCACGTCCGGATAGAATCCACTCCCCGTCAGAGCACGCTGATCATAGAAAGCGTCGGCGAAATGTCGGACATACAGTTGACGGCTTCGGCTCACAACGAGTTCGGAACGACAACGTCATCGTCCATCTTTAATGTTGTGAAGAGTGAGTTCTTACTAATAGCTTTATTTGCCTTTCCCAACCGCTTCGCTGAGTTCATTGCGTTCAGCTCTAATCAACGCTAACTGACCCAAGTGTGTTTTCTTACGTAGAATCTGAAACTTCAGGGCCAGATGAGTCATTCGAGATGGTGCCCCCCGATTTGCCAGAAGAATCAGCACCGAAGATCATTGAACCTTTACACTCTGCGTCATTTATTGATGGTTAGTTCGCTCTTTTTGACCAAAAAGAAAAATCGATGCATTCCGAGAATGAAAAACGAATATTTTGGCGCACTCAACACACATGATCTTTAGTGATTAGTTTTTGTAAATGGAAAACCGTTTTGCAGGCCAACCAATGGTCTTACGCTGCCGTATCAGAGCCATTCCTTCCGCCGCAGTTGTTTGGTCCAAAGACGATGTCAACGTCGAGGAATGGGTTATCAACAAAGACGTAGTTACGCAGGTAAAGCTGACAACTATCCATACAGAACTAAGAAGTAGTTCACTCGTGTCTAAATACTTTGTGACTTGTTTGCTGACGTTGAAGGCCATGTCCGGGCGAGAAGTCGATTTTGAGATTTTTTGCTTATCGGGCTTATTTACTTTGATGAATTCGAAAATCACAAGGAAAGCGCGAAAACGGCGAAAAGGGCTCTAATGTAGGGGGCAAATCAGCAGGTGGGCGGGTCTTCCCCACTGTGCATTCACGCTCCCAGCTTCTGTAGCGATCTCTCGTCCGATATCAAGTTTCAAGTTCGCACTTGGCCGGTGGCGGTGTCAAAGGGGCTAGCGTCGAGGAGTTCTGGAAGCTGGAAGCTTGCATTCACTGAGGAAGAGCCCGCCCATCTGCTGATTTCCCTCCTATACTAGAGCCCTTTTTGCCGTTTTCGCGCTCTCCATCGTGTTTTTCGGATTCAGCATAACGAATAGGACTGGATAAATAAATAAAACCCAATCGACTTCTTGCCCGGACACTGCTTTTAAAAGCAGTGTCTGGGAAAATTGCGAGTGCGAGCTTTCCACCGTACATGGCCTTCTGGATGCGCTTAGCCCAGTACTGTGCTTGAAAAGTCAAAAAAGTGTTTTCGACGTTTCCCTTTCCTGGAGATAGCTGGAGGGGATCGGCGGGGGATTCCCGCGAACATCGCAATTGGCTGCCTGAACGATCAGCGAATTGCCGCCGATACCGATTTGGGTGAATTGACAGTCTCCTGCAGCCAGTCGCTGTTTATGGCGGGAATCCCTCGCCCATCCCTCTCTATCTGCGGAAAACGCTGTAAAAGGCACTTCTTCGACTTTTCATGCACATTACTGAATACTGGATTCAGCGCATCCAGAAGGCCATGTAGATGTAGAAAGCAGTACTCGCAACTTTCTCGAGCCACTGCCTTCAAGGTACAGTATTTGCGTACAACACTTGGCCGGTCGTGTTAATTGAGAGGAAATTTTGGGAAGAGCAGCAAAGCTGCAAAATAAGTCTTTTGTAGGTTCTACCTGGTGGCTATTGCGAGCTGCTGAATCCAGAGGTCTATCCCGAGGATAGTGGCTTGTACAAATGCACAGCAACAAATCCTCATGGCCGAGCTGAAACTGCAGCGTACATCAACATCGAAGGTGTGCTTTGTTTATTCTTAATCCTATGTCAGAAGGCGAGAACTTATTTTCCATTAGGTGTTACTTATCGCAAAGATCGCGAAGAGGCCTCTGCCAGCGAGACTATGTCAGGAGCTGTCGATGAAGCTACGGTAGTGCCGATGCCACCTAAGTTTGTTGAGGAATTGACGGCTGAAACGGATGGAGCGCATCAGCTGAACTACGTCAGATTATTATGCAGAATCCGCAGGTACTATTTTGCATTGCTCATGTTGTTCGATAGAAAGAGCTAAGCACTTGCGCTAATGCCGTAGCTGCAACGCACTTATAAATTTGAAAGGTCTATTCTTTTTGTCATTTATTTGCATCCATCAAAGCCAGTACCTCTAAAGTTATGAAAGATTTCATTCATTTCTTGTTTACGAGAAAACGTATTTAATGTATTCAAGGATGATGTAGGATCTGTAAATACCATATGTAAAATCTGTAATCAATTGACAATGTAAAATGTATCGATTCTAGACATTCGCACTGATACATTCTTATTCTTGTTCACTTTTCAGTGGCGCTCAAACAACTGTAACATGGTGGAAGGATGATGTTGAAATTCAACCAAGCAGAAAATACGAGTTCCATAGATTCTCTGACGGAGCCTTGATTCTTACTATTTACGGACCTTCTACGTCTGACAATGGTACTTTTTAGCACTCCTTAAACGAGTGATCTTTCGAAAGACAAATTTTTTTCTAGGCACTTACACCTGCAAAGCGGAATCGGAGCATGGTGTAAGCAGTAGCAGTTGCGAGATGTTGGTTCCACCGACTACGTCTACTACGGTAACAGCGGATACGGTAACCGAAACATCAACGGAGACCACAAGCGTTGTCGAGTCAGCATCACCCGTGCAAGTGACAGAGTCGGTTAAGGAAGATTTTGTTGCCACCACGGAAATCACCAAGCACGAAGGTCAGAGAATGACAATTGTATAGTATTTTTATGGTGACTAAAAATTAAAGCAGTAATGGGTTATTGAGCTTAACTAACAGAGTTGAAACAGTGGTCGCCATTGCCTCACAAGCACATGAATTTTAATCCTGAAAAATTTGTCTTTGCCATTGCAGAAGAATACAAACTTCTGGTGAAAGTAGCTGACAGTGTTGCGAGCACCCTTGTTGCCAACGTATTTGTTGATGCCGTTCGTGAAGCTGTGAGAAGAATTATGATCGAGGAAAGCGAGGAAGAGGTAAGCGAGAAGTAAAGAAAACCCCACTTGGGTTTGACAGGTGCTTCCGGCTAGAAGGAGTTACACGCGCTTCAAATGGTAAATTTGACGCACAGTAGCAGTTTCTAGATCTAGTAATTTATTAGAAAGTGGCCGAGATTCACTAGAATAATCTCGGCAACCTTGTCTGGTACAAGTTTGGAAAACTTCGCAAACTTCATACGTGTTATTTAGGAAGAAATCGTCACTGTTGACGCTCCGAGATTTGAAACCTCGATAGAACGATATGTTGTCCATGAAAACGAGACAGTCACTATTAGCACTGTTGTAACCGGAACTCCGACACCGTTCATCGAATGGTACTTCAAAGACAAAAAACTTCAAGTCAGCGAGTAAGTCGAGCTTGCCTTATCCAGGCTTTTAATAGGAGCATAAACTGTACAGAAACAAGTAAAGTGTACTACGTATGCTGTTTTACACCATGATCTACGGAATAAGCTGTGACTTCTTCGCTTCTGAGTCACTGTAAAGTGAACCTTTGTTCCAGGAATGTCAGCATGGGTTATGAAAATAAAGTCGCAACTCTGATACTGAAAAACGTCACCAAAACACAGGAAGGCACTTATTACTGCCATGCAACAAATGTTCACGGAACAACAGTACTACCCAGTGAAGTTAGGGTCTTACCTGGTCAGTTGGATTTCTCCTTCCGATTAATGGCTGGATTTATCACCAGTCTCAGAACAACGATCTTTAGGTAAAGCAAGCGACACAATTCGTTTGACCTTAGCCAAGTACAACAAGCGCGAGGAAGGCGAACAACTTGTCACCAATATCTTCGCCTACCATAAAGAAGAGCAATTCGAGGAAGCCATCAAGCTGCATGCGCCCGATAAGGCCAGCGAATCGGCCAAGTTTGCTGCTGTACCTGCCAAGCCTTCTGAAGAAGTTCAAATCCCACCAGCGGAGGAATTGCGACCACCTCGCCCAGCACCAGTAAGCATACCCATAATTGTTCATCCAGCCGAAGAAAGTCGTCTTCCGGTGTTGATGCACCCGACAGCAGCTGAGCTCGTAGTGCCAGCGACGCATGAAGAGGAACCTCTGAGAGGAGAGCAGTCTGGTGTCACCGTTCCCGTGGTCACTGAGGAGAAGGTGCGGGAAGAAGAGAGACCAGATGCAGTCGAGCAGTTAGCAAAAGAAATAGCATCTGCAGCCATTAAGTCCGTCTATGAAGTGATTCCAGTTGTTGTTGTACAAGAAGCTGAGATTCCAACTGTAGCCGTTCATCTTGCTGAAGGGACTGGGGTTATCGCAGAAACAAGAGCAGAGGTCAAAACAGAAGAAGTTTTCGTTCCCGAGACTACACAAGAACTACGAGCACCTACGGTAGCTGCTCAGCCACCTGAACAACCCATTGAGGGACGCCCTGAATCGAAAGTAGTCGCAGAAGTGGTCCCAACCCTGATCCAAGAAACCGAAATACCTACTATGACTGTGCAAATGTCTGACAGACCTCTTGAAGAGGCTCCAGTTCCGGCACCAAGGACGGTCAGAGAGACTGTTCCAGTGAAGGCCCATGAAGCAGGAGTACCAACAGTAGCCGTACAATTATCGGAAAAGCCTTCCGAAGAGGTGTCGCCTCCAGCTCCTAAATCAGTGGAAGAAGTTGTTCCCATTACAGCCCAGGAAACAGAAGTGCCTTCTGTAACCGTTCAGCTACCAGAAGAACTTTCTGCTGAAGCAAGGATGATCGAGAAAGTGCCCGCTCCTCAAGCGGTGGAAGAAGTCGTTCCCATAAATGCTCAAGAAGCGGAAGTGCCCTCTGCTGAAGCAAAGACGATCAGTGAAGTACCCGCTCCCAAGGCGGTGGATGAAGTCATTCCTGTGAATGCTCAGGAAGCAGAAGTGCCAACGTTGGTAGTGCAGCTTGGAGAACAGTCACCTGTTGGAGCACAGCCCTCCATTTCTGGTGTAGCTGCTGGAATCGTACCCGTACTTACAAAAGATATCGAAGTAGTACCCACTGAAACAGTGCATCTGCCAGCGGAGGCGCGGACAACCGAAGAAGCGAAACCAGCTGCACCGAAAACAGTCGAAAAAGTTATTCCCGTTCATACTCAAGAAGGAGAAGTTTCTACCATAGCCGTACAACTTGCAGGAGTACCTCAAGCGACAGAAGCCGTTGCCATTCCAAAATCTGTAGAAGAAGTAGTCCCCTTGACCATCCACGAAGCGGAAACTCCTACTGCCACTGTTCAAATGCCAGAAAAGCCTTCCACTGGGGAGGAGACGAAGATTGAAGGTGCATCAGTTGAGGTAACTGCATTGCCAGCCAAGGAATCGGAGGGAGGTGCCCAAATGATTGTGCCATCCGAAGAAGTCCAAAAGATATCCCAAGAATTCCGAAAGCAAGAAGAACGGCAGGATGTTGGTGCCGAAGAAGTACCAGCTGTGCAAGAGACTGAAGTGCCAGCGCAACCACCAGTACCGCCACCACGAAAACTGCTCGACGAGAAAAAAGAGGTAGGTTGTACCTGAAACATCTTATTAGTAGTTTCGAAAGTGAGGAGCAACCCTATACCCATTCAAATGCAGTTTTGTTCATAATTTCATTTAAATTCCATGGAGGAGTTAGCAAGCTTTGAGTGCGCGATTTACAAAACTAACGACCCAGGACATTTAGTTCCGTAGATAACATGATTATTAAGCTTTCAGTGAAAGTTCTTGAGATTGAGTTTTTTTAGATTGCAGATAAAAAAAGAGAGTTTTTTGTGATTAAGAGTATTGAGAACGTGTGAACGAATTTGTAAATTTTCATTTTAAGCCGCTACACATTGAATTCATTTTTTTACAAGATTTGAAAACAACGTTTTTTTTTTCAGCAAGCAACAGAGCAACTCACTACTGAATCTACGATTAAGATGAAAACGGCAACACCCGAAATGGAAGAAAGTCAAGAAGAAGTTCGAACTGATTTGCATATCGAAGGAGCATCGGATAAGGTTTGTAAATCTGGCTGTGCTGTGCACTTCGTGTCTCAGAAAAGAACATAAACATTGGAGGTGGCTACTGTCGAAAAACAGATGGAATCTGCTACTTTCGCAAAAGTCACACATGCAAAGACGGAAAACATCGTCGTCACTGCAATTTCTCCAATAGTAACATATTTGCTCTCTTTTCATGACTTTTACTAATTTATTCTATTACAGGAGCAGTTTAGCGAAGAGTCTACAACCATAGATGCAAGGCGGCCAAATGCTCATTTCAGTCATGCGGTCACTGTAGTAGAGCCTGAGGTAAGGCTCAAATTTTTTCAGGAGAAATTCCCACACTGCTTGAAATGGATCAACTTTTAGGTCGTCCAACTCGGGCTTCATTTGCCCGCACCAAGTGTTCCATCGATGAAGTTCATCGACTTGGAGACAATACTCCAACGACCTGGAACATCATCAAGCGCGAACACACTCATTTCGTCGCCAGCAAGAGGCTCAGCAAACGCTGAACATCGAATCGTTGTTTTAGAGGGAACATCGCAACAATTCCAGCATGCAATGACGCTGAGCCTGAAAAAGGTAAGTTGCTGTGACAGTTGAGAGGATAAACCCAAGTTCCCGCAATTTCCAGGTTCAGCGTCTTGCTATGGAATCAGCGGAACCCTCATTATTCACTCAAATAGAAGTCGTTAAGCCTAACGAGGCAAAAGAAGCAGTTGTCAGGATAGAAGACGCCGAAAAAATCATTCCAGATCTACTTCGGGTAGCAGCTGCAGCATCCAAGCTAAAGGTACAGAATTTGTTAGAATATACACACGCAGTTTAATCTACAACAGAAGTTTTGATGAAAGAGCTTAGTTTCTCCGAAAAAGTGCGACACTTTTCGTATTTCATAGATATTGCAACAAAATATAAATGCTGTCCAACATACGAAATTTTCAAGCTCGAGAATGTAACAGTCAGCCTGGTGAGGCAACCGGATACTGCACATCATGAACTCGTGATCGAATACGAAAGCCATATAGAAGACAGCGCCGAATTCAATCTTTCTCAACTCATTTACACTCAGCCTCAAGAGGAGGTAAATTTTTTTGGTACGGGGTATGCGGTTAATATGGGACTTTGGCTTTCAGGAAGAGACTCCAGAAGTTTGGTCGCGTCGTTCACGTTATTCAGAAGTCGACGAGAATGTCGTTGCTGTTTTCGTCGAGGTAGATGCAAATTGTCCGGACCAGGTAAAGTCTGTTGTAAATATGTTAACTTTTTGAAATAAATTTGTAGCTGAAGGGTAATTCGGTATGTCGTTCCCTTAACAGGTCCTTCAAAATGCTTCTTTCTGAATATAGGATTTTGAGTCAAAGAAAAATGCTTGCAGCACTTTGCCTTTGATCCAAAAAGAAGTTAGAATGATCTCGGTAGACAAACCGTGGACACTTAGTGACATTGGTTCACCTTTTATGTAACTTCTTTTTAGAACGTTGAAATATTAGCTACTGTGAATGCACCTCAAGAAGCGAGGGTCGCCAGCGAACGGACACCTTCGCCTGACATTATAGAGTTGTCGGAATCAATGACCGAATCATCTAATGCTGCAGGGTTACAGCAACCTAAGTAAGTACAAATCATTGACAAAAAAAATTAAGCCAGATGAGAATTTTGGTTGGTTTAAAAAGCTCCTGATTTTTACAAAATCTTTTAGATTTGTGCGAACCCTCACAGATGGTAGTGCTGTTGTTGGGAAACCAGCCCAATTCAAGTGTATAGTTAGTGGTATGCCTATACCAGATGTTCGGTGGTATGTCGATGGTGACGCTATTCAACATTCTCGGTAAGCAGCGGTTACACAGGACATAACACAGAATGCAAGGTCAATTTTCTAGGGAGTACGATATTGTATATGAAGATGGTGTCTGTATATTACGAATAAACGAAGTATTACCCGAAGATGAAGGAGAATACAGTTGCGAGGCGTCAAATACAGTAGGAAAAGCAGAAACGAAATGCTTCCTGAAAGTGCTCGGTGAGTGTTATTCGCCAAAATTATTGAAAATTGTGATGATTCGCATCGAGTGGACGTCAAGCAACGACATCAGATAAGTGCAAATCACAAAATAAAACGTTTCGGTGACACAACACAGCCCATATATCTTGACTTCCTGACTCCTCCTGGGCATGATTCCTTTGCCTCTTCCTTCTCCTCTGAAGATAACCTCTCTTTCCGCCGTCAGTTCAGTACATATTTTCCGCTAACCATGCAGTTCTTAGAACAGCGCTTACGTTTTGTTTTGTGTTTTGTGCTTTTCGCATGTGTGTTGTCTGGCGGCGCTCAAGTGCATGGAGAGACAAAGCAAGCATGAGCACCGCTTCTTTCAGACGGTAACCGACAACAACGTTATGTAGAACATGCTCCTTCGATAGTCGAGCTTGTCGACGATCCGTTCGACTCGTTTGATTCCTTTGAGTTTGAAGAGCAGAAGGCGAACAGGCTCTTCCCGGATCCGGACTCACTCAGTCGCTCATCGATCACCTACAACTCGGAGTTCGACCTGTCGAGGATCGCAAGCTACAACGAGAACATGCTAGAAACAAACGCATTCTATAGGTATTTTGACACAGCCGAAACCTCCACCACATTGGTAGAAGGCGTGCTGCCTGTGAGAGTATCTGCCACCTTGCATGTTCCCTTTGCAAAGAGCCAGGGGGCATATGCATATCTTAATGCATATTTTTCAAAAGCCGTCCCTACAGCCACTGCTTCAAGCGAAATTCCCATCAAAATGGCTGAAGCTTGCAATTTTTCCGTTGCATCATCCTCGCTGACCCAGTTGGAAATTCTCGATGATCTTCAAACATTGCTTTCCTCTATCGAGAAAAGCTCCTTCACTGAAAGCGAGCAACAGCTTATAGACGAACTGCGGGAGCCTAGGGAGGCAGACCTGCCTCTGAAAATGTCCTACAAGGGTCATGAAATTACAGCCTCCACAAGCGAGGTAGAGAAAGAAGAATTGGTGAGAAACAAAAATGGCGAACTTGAAATTGCTAAGAAGACGTGTCTGGAGACGTCTATACAGTTCGATGCAGAACTTGACATAGCTCAGTCAATCAAAAAGATATCCAGAGCTATGCTAGAAACCGTGGAGGATGATGAGCCAGCATTAAATCTAGATACCTTAGATAACCATAAAGAGGGTGTTTACGATAATTTGGTTCCCATACGGAACTATCCCTCTTCCGGCTATGATACATTCAGCTCCAAGTCTCAATATGAACAGCAGCGAGCTCAGTCGACGAAACCAGCACCTCGCTTGCTAATTGACGCAGGAAAATCGGCTTCTGAAGGGTTCAGCAGCAAAGCATTCGACCCTGAATTCATTAATAAAATGAAGGAGATCGAGAGAATTGCCCGTCAGGTTGACGCTGAACTCGGACAGATCACTTCCCCTCATCCGGTGGCGCCTTCGGGCGAAGATGCAAAAGAAATCGAAGACGCGATTTTCAAAATTTCCGACGAACTTTTGCACTCGCGTCCCATAACAGAGGCGCAAGCAGAAGCTAGTGAGGAGTTACTCAGAACAACGCTAGCTGACATGATTTTGAACCCTACTAGAACAGCTGAGGAAGAAATGGAACTGATGAGGCGGCCTATTAGGCTGCTAAAAAGAAAACTGTCGGACTTTGAAAACTCGCTAATGGAAGATGTGGAAGTGACAAAGATCACTGAGCAGTCACTTGTACCATCTGCGGTCATATCGCCTATCGAAGATGGCTCTGATCTAATTGCGAAAACTCGTGTGCCCAGCGCAGATTACCTTAGAGTGACACCATTAACAACGAACATCAAGGAGCAATTGTCGTGCCTTGAGGAGATGATAAATAGCATGGGTACTGAAGCCATTGAAAGGGGCTCAAAGGAACAAACACCCTCTGATTCGTCAAGGAGCGGTACTCGAAAGAAGCGTGAACTTCACGACCTGCTTGTGCAGATAAATAATGAAATGAACACGATAAAGTCATTCTGCAAATCGAAGCTCTCCAAAAAAGGAACCGATACCGTAGTGTCAGTACTTCAAAAGGTCAAAGCACATGTGAATAGCATAGTAAATGTAATCTCGATTTCAAAGAGGAAGCAGGAAACTCAAAAATATGATGCGTACACATCATTGAATTTGGAATTCTTCCGTTCTCCAGCCAAAGAAAGGATCGATGCAATCATGTTCTACAAAAAGACCTCGCTAGAATCTTCCATGGTCCAACAGACGTCGACGGCTGCATCAACTAGCGACGACACATGGAGGTATTCGACAGAGCTGAAAACATCCATCGATAAAACTTCAGAAAGTAAATCCGAGTCGAAAGCGGAACGAAAATCGTCAGAGGAGACATTGAAAGCTGAGCCTATACCAAAACCGCCACCACGAAGACGACGCACTCAGAGCGCAGAGCCCGAGTGCGAGAGCATTGACATTCCTGTTCGCCCTCCAAGAAACAAGAAGAGTTTAGAAAAGCGCGATCATTCACTGGACAGCCGACTGAAGCCGGTTGAGAAGAAGAAATCCGCGACTTTGCCACCTCCTGTGACACCCCCACGCAAGCCTAAAAGATCCTTGGCGAGTGACACAATCCACTTCTTGAGAAATCTCGCCTGCACCAAATCGCAGAAACATTCTGATGAGATGAAGAAGCCCTTACTCATGGATCTTAGCCAGTCTGACATTTCACAACAAAGTGATGGTGTGGTGTCAGAGCCTGATTGGGTTCAGTCTAAGGTAAATGCTTCACTGAAGAGAGGCGCTGAGAAGGTCAAAGTCGACCACGATATTGACATAGAGACCTCGAAAAGCTCGTACGAAACGGAAGTGACCCAATCTGTGGAAAAGCCGAACACTGAGCAGAAGCCTACGGAGGAGCCGTTTGCGCATGAAGAGAATGTGCAGACTAACTTTGAAAGTAGCGTGGTCTCTGCCGGTTCTGCCTTACACTTCGAGGCAAACACAGTTGTAGACGTGCCATTGCTAAGTGTCGTAACAATCTCTGGAAACGTTCTAGCCGATGATGGCGCAACATCTGTTCAGCTGCTGTGTGAGGAATCTGACTATGCAACTGACACTGATACATCGGCACTACTCCGAGGCACAGTACAGTTCTTCAATAGAAACTCTCCATTGGAAACACTACGGTCAAGTACTTCTCTCAGTGTTTCGCAAAGAAGCTCCAAGATTCTTCCGGATGCACCCGAAAACGAAACCGACGGCTGTGCAGAGATCAGTGTCACTCTGGATCTACGTAAGAGATCACCAGTTGATGTCGAAGAAGTTGTAACGCACCTAGCAAACCCATCAGAAGTTCCAAAATTAGACGAACAGGATTCTTTGGCTGCCACAGGATCCGCAAGAACCTCCACAGCAGACGAAACGATCCATCTTGTAGTGGAAGAGACTCTTCTGTCGCAAATGGCTTCATCAGCACCGACAGATGACACTGGCAGATCACTCACGTCCTCCCCTACCTCAAAGGGAGTAATCAGAGAGACCGACATTCTCAGTGATGAATCGGTGTCTGTAATGACGGAAATCAGTCAAAGCATTACCGATGCTGTGGACCAGACATTCACTTTCGTCCGAGCAAATGCAAGGAAGCGGCTCATAGCGATAGTTTACCTAGACATCCGACAGTTTGCGCGAGCCAACATTGCAGCCGATAACACCTTTGATGTTGAGATTTTCCAAGAACCAGAGAATTCGGCATTGCTTATCAAAGTAATCGAAGATCAAGTAGACTGCACGTCTCTCACCGGCGTAGAGGAGAGTACAGAATTTGGTGGAGCTATTACCTACGACGAATTCATGGAGAACAGCTCAAATGATGAAAATGATGAGACTAGAACAGGCATCTCCATATCGATAATAGCAAGGAGTTTGCATGATGGCATTTATGCCTCGCTGGAGGAGATACCTTGGGGAGAGGTGGAGATGACTCTACCAGAGTGTGACACTATGACTAAAAGTATGGAAGATGAGTCAAAGAACTCTGTACAGTTCAATGTGACGGTATCAGAATCGAATCCGGATGAGAGGAAGTCGCTTCGTTCGCAGGTCTCGCTCACCCATTCTCAAAATTCAATTTCGGAAATTGATAATACGCTCAGCACTGGTAGCATTAACATTCCAAGCTATGTTATCAAGCTAGGATCAACAGCGACGATCACATGTGAGCTCAACAATTACCTACCAAAAGATAGCAAAATAGAATGGTACAAGGGGAACTCGCAGATCGAGAAATGTCCTGGCAAACTGGATCGCATAAGCCATGATTTGCTCGAGGTGCTTATAATCAACGATGTACAAATGGAAGACAATGAGTTATACAGTCTCAAAGTCAATGACGATATCTTCCCCGTGGCATATTTGATTGTGGAGGGACCTTCAACGGAAGATTTGGGGAGAATACTCACTCCACCGCAGACACAGTTTGTGATGGAGGGTCAGCCGACGGTCATCATGTGTCAAGTGAGCAATCCAAGACAGGCGGTCGAGTGGTTGAAAGACCGAAAACCGCTAGAGGAGAGCTCCCGTTTGCAGCTGGAACTGTGCGAAGACGGCTGGAACCGCGTGGTGTTTCTGCAGACGAAAATGTCGGATCAGGGCACGTACTTCGCAGTGCTCGGTCAGCATAGTGTAGCAATAACCCTGGTTGTCGAAGGTGTGTTTACCTAGGTTTCCTTGGTGCTGTTGAGTGTGATGCATGTTGCTTTTTCTGTTCAGAGCGTATCGATGAGAAGGAGGTCACAGTGGTCGCGTCAGGCACCGAGAGCGAGGATGACGACGTTCAGGAGTATCTCGTTCCGCCAGGAAGCACGGCCACAATCGCTTGCGAGCTCGAGGACGGCGACCGCGTGCATACCCTGATTTGGCTCAAAAATGGCCAACAAATTATCTTCACTGACCCCAATAAAATGGAGCATGTCGTAAATGGCCTTAAGCATTATCTTGTCATCCATGACACGTGCCCCAAGGATTCCGGTGTCTACAGCGTTTCCATTTCGAACACCGAATTCCGTGTGGCTCATTTGGTCGTGAATGACTTGGCCACATCTTCTCAAGGTCTCCGTCGTAAACGCATCTCTAACAACTCGTTACACTAACATTTTCTCAGCATCCTCTTTGTCTTGTAGACTTCATTGAGGTAGCGAGGGGGCGGATTATCGGATCTCGTATTTCTGTACATATCCAGCTGTCTATTTCGTTTGTACTAACCTCAGCGTTCATCTCTATTTATTTTGAAGAACATGAAGATTATCTATGTCGTTGCTTGTGTCCACACAAAAATGAAAATGAAAGAAAAGTAAAAGTAAAATGAAACGAGTAGTAATGTTTAGCGGAGGAGCCGACTGAAGAGACGTTTGTACCAGCAGGTGCAATAGCCACTATCAATTGTGAAACCATCACAGAAGAGCACAATATCGAGTGGTTGAAGGTTTGCGTTTTGAGGATTGAGATCTTTGAATGAAACAAAACATGAGATGGATGGACAGTAAGCTGCATGCGTCAATTGTTTGTCAGTTCAAAAGCGAAAAATCAATTCCCATTTGGTTTTTGCCTGGTGCAGCTTTTTGCGGCAAATAACAGCTCTCTCGAGTACGGTATTGGGTAGTTGAGCAATGAAATTCTGCCATGAATCAGTCATATGAGCTGCCGCTTGTCCATTGCTCGGTGAGAGCCTTCAATCGCTTTTCGCTCAAATGCTCAAGTGCCTTAGACATGCATAGTTGCTACCCCTGTGATTAGTATAGTGCACTTTTTCGAACGGTGAGATACATTGATCACTTGTTGCCTAAAGTAAAAGCAGCTGGCAATCGAAGGCGTGCGGTATATAGCTGGTACAAAAAAATGAAAAACTTGGAGCAAAAAAAAACAAACGTCACGTCAGTTATGAAATCGAAACCGTTAGATGGCAGATCTGCGAATGAAACTATTAGTCGGAAATGTAGAGGCAATAACAATAGGGACATACTGCATAAAGTCAAACTAGTAAGGTGACTCTTTCCTACAAGCGAGTTAAAGGGAGAAAAATTTAAGGAAGAAATCAAGAAGGTCAGAATATTGTTCCTCATAATGGTGGCGCTCATCCTAAAAAGGGGCCGCAGATTCAAACTTATCGAATTGATTTCCCATTTTTGAGCAAGAACAGGCACATCATCAACATGTAAAAGTTTTCTTCACTTCGCCAGTTTCTCTCCAAAGGGAAGCGAAGAAAAGTTCAAAGAATTAAATCATATGCGGCAAAATAAGGCTGATTAACCAGAAGTTTTCTTAATATCTGCGTAAGAAATTTCTGCTTTAGCCATCAGTTGCATTATTATTGAGTTCAACGACATTTATGTCAAATTTGTACACAACAAAGGCGCAAAAGCTTCCCAAAACAGTTTTTTGGTATGGTAAGATGTTAAGGTCCTTTAGTTGAGAACTACCACTCATTTTAGTTTGGTAGATGGTCCTTTGATCTTTTGTTCATTGTACGAGCTGCCAGTTGCCCCTTCCATTTTTCCAGAGAGTGCTTTACAAAGTTCGCAGTAATATTTTTTTGTTCAAGCCATTACACAAGCCTCAAGACTACTCTCCTTGTCCTACACTTAGTGCGAAATTGCGATTATGACATGGCGAAAGTTGTCTATTGCTCACAGAGGCTTCACTAGTAATAAATAATTCATATGACTGCACTGATATTCATACACGGTCTACAGGCTTAACCTCCTTCCACTCACGGAGCTGGACTTGAGCTGATGTTTTGTTATTTTCTTTTTACTGTTCATGCTCTGACTATTTTGCTCTTTGTTCCAAATATAGCACGTCTGGTGCGTATTGAATAAATAACTAAATAAAAAAATATGAATTCTAAAAAAACTTTCATTGGGAGAAGATAGGTCAGTTTTGAGAGCAAGTGAAATTCGGAGAAATTTTATGACGAGCAAAATCTTTTGCTGTTCAACCGGCCTCAGACAGTTTTTTCTTGATTTACATTGGATGTTAGAAGCATCGCAAACTTTACCCTCTTCGATTCCAGCCCTTTTTCCAACAGAGCGCATTACGGGTATAGGTAAGAAAATGTAACAAGAATAGGAAATTAAGGCAGATTTCACCGAACCATCGGAGAGGTGAGCAAGAGGCTAACATATTACTAAAGTAAGCAAGCCATTATAAACTTAGTGTTAATTGAATTCTGACTCTGACCACTACGCGGAAATGCTAGCTTTTTTGAGTCGACGGTCTGACCATCGGTATCACATTAGAAGAGATAAGTGAAACAGTAACTTGTACGTTGCCTTTACACTATCTCGCTCCTAGGTAGAAAAAAACAGCGGAGAATTGATCGAGAAACGAGCAGTGCGTGCAAAAAGAAATGGATGATAATGCGAAACTTTGTTACGCCCCAACACTTCCTGAAGTACTGGCTCCTGCTACATATGATTCCAAAACACGTTTCGGACTCCGACTTCGCACGCGGCAAAGAAGTATGCACCTTGCTCACTAGTCAGCAAAGTGACCTCATTTCGTGGAATGACTACTGCTCATAGACAAAGTTCCGGATAAATTCATTCTTTGGAATTTGTCACCTGACAAGGATTGCCGTGTTCCCCCTGAAGACAGAAACAACATCTCAATATCAAATGTAATCACATCTACCTATGTGACACAAGGTATTTACAAATCGGCACTGTAAACACCGTTCTTCTTTTAAACCATTGACGACGACGCCTAATTTTGCGTGGCGGCGCTGTGGAACGACGCAATTTTGCATAATACTTTCGGTGTGGGAAAGTTCTGTGATTATTTATGAAATGTGAACGTTTTGTAAACAACTATGAACATTCTTCGGGACGGGGGAGCCCACAGGTCCCAGGAGTGCAAAAAATTGGAAAAAACATTGAACTGTGGAATAAATACTAGACTAGACCTGGAAAGGGTATGATCCTGCAAGGAGTGTGGGCCACCGGTGGTCACCTGACAAGGATTGTCCCTGGCGGCAAAAAGTGCGTGATTCATCGGTGGTCTACATCGTCGTCAATGGGTTAAAAACTAGAGTGCGTTGTTTGCATTGTTGCATTATGTTGAAACCGTTGCTCCATTTGCCATTTATCTCCTAAACGGGTAGCGGCGGCACAGCTCGATAACATCTTGAAAAAGGTATCTTTATCTTGATGTTCTTGGAGTACGACAAAAAATGCTGTGGAATTTAAGAAAATCCTATGAAGCCGCGTGGTCCACGGCACTGGTTCGAAACGTGTTAATAACAAACATTTCCGCTTGCTCCTCTCGGAATAAGAAGCTTCGTAGAAAGTCAAGACCTTGTCTCTGAATAATTGCTCGCTCTTGTACTTTTAGATGCGGAAGAGGGAGATGGATGATATGTATTAGAAATAGGTCTACTGTCTGCGTAAAGGACAGTCATCACAAGCATATAGGCAGTCGGTCCAGGAATTGCGAATTTTACTGTCTGACAATGAAAAACATAATAGTTGTGCTATGGGTGTTGAAGGATTTGTTAAAAATAACGCGACGATACTATGTCAAAAGCTGACTTTCTGTACTTAAAAAACTATATTGAATCGTCATTGTAAAGCCAAGAGAAGAGGGAGGAGATATTTGCGATGTAACGGCCATAACTTGAAATAAGAATCCCTTTGATGTTGCTAGATTATGTAACGCCCGCTTCCGGCATAAAATGTGTTTGAATCCTTTGCTACTCCGATTATCACTCATATGCATGCTGCCTTATGTTTCTACGAACAGTCTCAAGAAAGTGAACATGTAGCCTATAACTTACATTTATTATCAATATTCTACGGGAGCGCTACTGCAATTTGATGTTTTCGTACAATGGTAAACATCCTTACATTAAAGTCCAATACAGATAGTAGCTTTAAGTTGTTCTCTCATTTCCACGTACACATATGTGGTTCGACCTTGTACCTGAAAACAGTGAAGAAGTGGGGGCAAGTCATAGGTCGCCAAAGTGCTGACGCCTCAGCCAAGATATTCATTACGCTATACCCATTCTCTCTCCCAATCCTTCAGTTTTCAAAAAGTCCCGAGAAAATCATGAGAACAATGCAGAAGTTCTCGAGTTTGTGTCATATTACCAATACTCTATATATAGCCTGTAAGTATATAGCGCAATCAGTACGTCGGAATAAGCTCGAAAGTTGATAACACAATTTTTTCACTGTAGGAGAGAGCCGTGAACTTTTGAACTCCCACTGATATCAAACCAAGTTTCGATAAAAAATCCATGTCTACAGCTCCAAAATATGCATACATCTATCCAACAGAAAGCAGCTTTCGACTGTTGCGATACTTGAAACCTTTGAAAACATTCTTTGACAGAATTGGGTAAGAAACGAAGTGAGTTTTTGAGAAAACCATAGACAAAGTAAGTACGCTGAATCATGACGTGAACCTAATGACGAAGAAATAAAATCTCCGCAAGTTATTCGTTCTTGTAGGTCCAACCAAAGGTTTCACGATTGAGCAAGCATGCTAAAATCAAGCTTTTTTCTTAAAGGAAGGAGAACGGATCAACTTGAATAGAGGTGAAGGCAAGGAACTCGAGAGCAGATTCGTTGCTGATGATTCGGAGGATGGTCATCATCATTCCCTAACGATAGTCTCAATCGAACCAGCTGATGCTGGCGAGTATGGCGTCATCATCGATGGTGTGTACACCATTGTTACGAAGATTGTCGTGACAGGTACCCAACCTTAGCAAAAATACCATTTCTTAGTACGGGATTCAGACTCGGAAGTTTTCACGCAATCCATTTTTGAAGAACCCGAAGTTGACGTCTGCTTGCAAATGTACTCGGTGAAAGACACTGCAAGCGTAGATATGGGTGAAGCTGCTGTCCCGGGAGAAAAAGTGGTGAAAGAAAAAGCTTCTTTCACCACTCAGGAAGGTAAAATCATTTTTATGCACCCCACAGAAGCAATTCAAAAATGGCAAAGGTTTTGAGAAGAACAAAAAGAGCAGAGCAATTTGACGGGCCTAGCAAAAATTTCCAGATTCTGGGAATTCTCTGTTAAGAAGTAGATGATTGGATTAAGATTTCTATTCTAAACTATAAACGAAATTTCAAAAATGATATTGTGCTTCATAATTGGTATTATATGACACATTTTGAGCTTATACTTGACCTTCAGATCAAATATTGGAAAGCGAATTCGAGATAGTCGACATTCCTTATGACGATGAAAAGGAGAAAGAAAAGGAGGCTGCTCCGCAAGTTGATGAAGCGGCTCGCGAAGCTGCTTTGGCGGTTGCATCAGCAATCATGGAGAATTTGCTGCAAGAATCATATGTAGAGTACGGAGAAGTGCAACGAAGGGCCAGCGATGCACAGAAGAAGGAAAGTGGAGCCACGACTCCATTATCCGAACAGTTTGAGGAAATCGCCGAGATCAACATCGAACTTCCAACATCTGACGAGGAGATGCCGTCTCCTATGGAGAAACAACAGCACGAAGAGACTTTGATAGAACTTAGCTGCGAGGAACACGACTATGTGAAGCTTTTGGTTGAGGAGTCTATTGATGCTGCTATGAAAGATTTATCAGCTATGTCTACTCTGCAAGAGGCTCAAGGTCCTTCGGCACCATCAATTCCTATCGAACAACCATCTGGAGCGCCAGAGGTACAAGTTGAAGAAGCCACAAAAGGTGAACCGACTCCAGCGCCAGAGCTTCTGAAGGCTCATGCGGAAGAAGTATTGGTTTCTTTGGAACTTCATCGAGATCAAACGAGCTATTCAACAGAACTTTCCGTACCAAGAGCTAGGAAGTGCAAGCTGACTGTCTTCCTCACATTTGATGAAGGCTACGATTCGTTGCCTATCCAAGAAGTGCAACTTCAGATTGAATTGCAGAAGCCGCCACAGTCCGAGACCACCGAACAGATACTGTCGCAGATAATGTACGAAGATGATGGTGGGTATTTTTTATTCTGCTGTGATCCATCGAAAAAGATAATTTGTGCAAAGAGCACGCCAAACATCAGCTTCTACTATACCATCTACCAATTTAGACGTAATTTGTAAGGAGGTCTCTTTTGCAGAAGCTTCGACGATCGATGACACATTGACTTCATTGTCAAGCAGCTGTCTTTATACTCCACCGGACTTTGTGGATCCTTTGAAGGAAACCTACGAGGTTCTTGAGAACACACGCGCTTTATTGAAAGTGGTAGTAAAAGGAGTCCCTCTGCCACGGATATCATGGTTTCTGAACGACAACATCATAAGACCAGAGAAGTGAGTTCACGCTAGAAAGTTTAGAATAATTCAAAAAAAATGGAAACACTGAATGTTAGTAATTAACATCAAGAGAAGATGAAAAATAGGAGCAGTATTAAAAAATTCATTATTTGAAAATTTACTTTCATATAACTTTCATTTCAATAGCGTGCCTACAAGTCTTGCGAATAGAAAAAAATTTGATTATGATTTTCTCAATAATATCTTGCTAATTGGCTGAATGTTTGGAGTGAATACTGTTTCGCTCGGAGCAACTTAGCGGAGATCTTTACCTGCCTTTCAGCGATAACAAAAAAGTGAACCTCTCAAAGAATTTGTTTGCCATTTATTGCCTAGTTATTTACATAAGCAATAAAGAGACATCAGAACATTTCATTTTATGACGTTGTCTACTCGGCAGTCCAATGAGAATGATCACAACAGAGAAACAAAAAAAGCTTATGAAAGTGGGACTTTTCGATTCCAGGAGAGAATAGTCCCTTAAGATCGTATAGATTCAAATTTGCCCTGATCAGCAAACTGCGCCTTTTCCGAGTATAGTGGTTTTACCAGCTCTTCCCCCCTCCCCTTCCTAAATGAAACATTTCATACCATAATTACGGAAAATGCCATGACATTATCATTTGAAACACGATCTGCAGGAACGTCGTGAACATTGTGTGCGAGGATGGCGTCAGCTTCTTGGAAATATACGAGTGTAGCGAAAGGTGGAATGGCATTCTTACCTGCGAAGCTACAAATTCTGCCGGTTGTTGTAAAGTCTCAACGATACTCTCAACCATACGCGCAGGTAATCTGGTGCACCCTAAATTTGAGAGTTGGATGTGCACTGCATTGAGTCTGCTTTTGTTTAGAACCAACAGAACGCCCGGTAGAGATTCACCTTACGAATGTTCCCTGCCAAGCAGACACTGAAATCACGCTACCAGGAGGAGAAAGTGGCGATTTCGAAAAAGCTATGTACAGAGTTGGGGTTAGTGCACATCTTAAGAAGGTTGATGAACCATTGAGTTAATCGCACACTTGAAGCAATTAAACAGCTCCAGCTCCTCCAGCTGGAGTATTTCGTTCCTTGTCACATTGTAGTCAAGACTTACCTTGATTAACGAAGTATCTTTCAGGAAGAAACCGAAAGACCTCCTTCTGTTTCCTGGTCGATTTCACCTTCAGAAAGGAGCTTTTCTGAAACGAGCACGTCATCAGCTGCAGGACAGAAACCTAGTTTTGTCCTCAGAATGCCAGCGCAGATCTATACAAAGGTATAAACGAGCATAAGCGATGTCGTGTACGTAACTTCCATGGCAACTTCAGGTCAACGAGAACATACAACTAAAGTGCGTTTTCTCCGGACAACCTCTTCCGGCTGTTACTTGGGAAAAAGATGGAAATCTTGTCGATTTGAACAAGTATGTTGTTACTACATGCATAGTTTCTCAGATTTCTAGCGGATATCGCTGAGGCCTAATGCCAATCTAGCGCGGGGCAGAGGAAAGAACTAGGCATTAGGCGTAGCCTCCACATAAAACTGATCCTTCTGCGCATTAGTTGCTTACGGTATGAGGAGCAGTAGTCCGCGGAAACAGCTCGTGTTGGGAAATTCGGAGAACTGTGGGACGGGCCAGAGTGAGAGTAAGGGATTGTCCGTATCCACGTATATACATCTACGCTGGGGAGGGAGGGAATCTGGAAGGGGATGCGTCATATTCAATACTCTAAAGGCTACATGCTTTAACATCCCAGCCGGGGAGGGATCGCAGCATACAAAGAAAGTTCCATATATTGAAGCTCCGAACTTCTGGATTTTACGCTGTCTCCTCATCCGTAAAGGCTACTGCAGGACGAAGGCTCAAAAGCAGTATTAGCTGAGCGGGCGCGAACCCGGCGTGCGCGTATATTCATCGTTGTAAACCCTACGCTTCTTGCGCTCTGCGGCTAGTATAGCCGCGTTCACGCCCAAAGGTATTGGGCGTGAACGTCATGCAGTAGCCTATAAATGTTCCTGCCATCCTTCACTATGAACATATTGAACAGGAGCGAGAAGATGTACAAGCCGTCTTTTCTAGCATTTTGTCTGATCCCCTGACGATCCCTGGCGGCCGACCGTCTTTTCTTCAAAGTCATTTTGCTTGCTTCAAAGTTAGCGAATACATTCAAAGTTGTACTGTTTATCTAGCTCAACAGTGGTAAGCATGTTGCTGCTAAGAATAAATGATGTATTGGAGTCGTGAAATTGCGATGAAGCACAAGCCGAATGTTTGGTATTAAACTCGATTTTTCAAAAACTCAACTGTTCTTATCAGCAACATGTTTAGCACTGTTGTGTTAGATGTTCCGTGCAACTTTGAAAGGTTCTCGTTAACTTCGAAGAAAGAAAGGTGACTTTGAAGGAAAGACGGTCGCGCGCTGGGGATCATCAGGAAATCATACAAAATGCTGGAAAATGCGGCTTGTACAGCTTCTCGCTCCTGTTCAATATGTACATAGTGAAGGATGGTAGGAACACTTACGGTTGGGTAGAGAGCGTGGAAGCCAGAAGTTGGAGCTTCAGGATATGAAGCTTTATTTGTAAGCCGCGATCGTCTCCCCGCCGGGGATGTTAATGCATGCGGGCCTACGTATCTTTCTTCTTTCTTCTCTATCTTGCTTATGAAGGTTCTCATCCTCAATACCTGCGCATAATCGATGCCAGGTTACTGGCATAATTGACTAGATTTTCACTATTTTGTGCTATCTCCTAGGGATCCTCAAGGGATCACCTCCCAATTTCAATGTCATTTATCTTCTGAAAACTCAATGAAACGCTGTAATACTGTGAATATATCACGGCAGTGCTAAAAACGTTTACAGTAGAAATGAGTGAAATCTCAGGATATCGAAATCTTCGGTAATACCTAGCTTGCGAGCCAGAGATCATCGAAAAATTCACAATCTTCAGATTTCAATTCTTCTGTCGAAAAGCTTAGCAGTGCCGTAATATATCCTTGGTATGAATTTAAGTGTCTTCATTGACTTTTCAGGAAGATAAATCACTTTGAAAATGAGAGGTGATCTCCATTGGATCCCCGAGAATCCCCTGGGATCTTTGGAAGTAACCTGGCATCCATTATGTGCAAGTATAAGTGTATGAGAACCTTCATAGGCAAGATGGAGAAAGAAGAAGAAAGAAGATATGTAGAGACGCGTGACATGACGCATCTTCTCTCAGATCCCCTCGCCTCCCCAGGAAGATGTACGTGCATACAGACCTAGTAGGTGATTTGAGGCCCTGTGGCATCCTACGTGTGCAATGGTTGCAAATCAGTCGAATCTTGCGATCACGCAGAGCCCTATAACTGTGCTGTGCAAGTTTGACGGCGTGCAGAGCATACGCAGCGTGTGCTGGCTCTACCCCATGCCTATGATAGAGTAGAAAAATATCTATCTTGCAAGATGGGGGGAAAGCTAATGATTGATTTGTAGAAAAAATCCGTTTAGGAAAATTTGTGTACTGACAACCCCAAGTAGAGATCGTGTCCTTCTAGTAACAACTCTGTTAGTACTTCCGACTCGGAAATGTTTTTCCGCACGGTTATGACTAGACATAAAGGTCTTGGATGGTACAATTTTGAAAGAATCTTATGAAAGAATAGAGAAAAGTCATTGGACTTTGCTCGATTTTTGATCCTTGGTTTCTAGGAACTATACGATCGTTACTGAAGATGGCATAACAATGCTACGGTTGGAGTGCACAAGTTTGGATGATAATGCGATATTCTCTTGCACAATAGCTAACAGTTTTGGTATGACAACAACGCAATGCAAAGTGATAGTTGAAGGTAAATGTGGATTATTGAGCTAAATCTCGATACTAATTGAATGCGATGTTTCAGATGATGTACTTGTCCACAAATCAGTGGGAACCAGAGTGATTTGCGATCGCGAAAGCGAAAGCGCTGATATACAAGCAGTGCTCAATACAACTTCGCAATCTCAAACACAATTGTCACTATTCGCTACTCCGTCACAGGAGATGAAAGATGAAGCAGAGGAAGAACTATTTTCTTCTTCAACATCATCAGCCGGAGAAGCGCCTCGCTTCGTTCTACCTCTTGAAAACGGTTCTTTCAAAGGAAACAAATGTGATCTCAAATGTATAGTCACGGCTACGCCTTTAGCTGAAGTAGAATGGAGCGTTAACGATGAGCACGTGTCCGAAGATTCGTAAGTTGAAGCTTTTTCGGCTATTATGAGACCAAATCAAGCACTTGTACGAATGAACTTATTGCAGGAGCCATCATGTGATATACGAAGACGGAATTGCCATCCTACAGATTCGCAATATATCATACGACGAGCTCAGAGTATCCTGCTCTGCTTCAAACACTTATGGAACAACCGTAACCAAATGTCAACTCACAAGAACTACTCCTGAAGAGGATATCTCTGAGAGAGGACAGAAACCCTACTTTATTCTACCTCTTAAAGACATTGTGACATACGAGCGCGCAGTCCAGCTGAAATGCGTCGTATGCGGAGAACCAACGCCAACGGTGACATGGTTTGTGGACGATGTACAGTTACAAGAAGGGTGAGTTTTTGCATTGCTTGGAAAAGGGATGGATGTTGATTCTAAATGACCTGAAATTCAGTAGCATAGGATAATATAATGTGTTCGTATCAATAACGATCAGGATTATTCTTTCGCCTTTACTACTTTATTCAGCTCTTCTTTCTCATCTAATAAGCAAGCTGAGGCTATCTGGCTTCCAAGCAAATATACAATAGGAAAGCCAAAGATATAAAATTAATGATCATGATTAGCTTGAAGGCAGTGTTCGGGCAAGAGGTCGATTCTGACATCTTTTGCTTACCTGAGGGTGTATTCATCAAAGAACCCAGTGGGTAGGTTTAACCCACGAGATCGGTTTCACGAAGTTAGTGGGTTCGCGAACCCAGCAGTGCTTTTAGTGAATATCGATCCAACCAGCGGCACTGTTTTGCTTACCCAATAACCCAGTGGGTTCGTTGTCGAAAACGGTCGATGGGCCTATTATGCTGAATCTAAAAGTCCACACTGCAGGGAGCGAAAACGGCGAAAAACAACTCTAGCGCAAGAGGATCAGCAAAGGGCAGGGTTTTCCACTTTGTGAAGTCACTTTCCCAGCTTAAGGAGCGATCTTCTCGCTTCCGCGAGCCGCCATAGTATCGCTACTGGTCAAGCGCGAAAAGTGACAGATCACAATTTGCATTGTTATTTACTAAAAAAGGAAAACTCCTCTGTATTTAGTTACCGCACTGCTGTTCTCTAATCCATTACAGCATGAAAACGAAGCTTGGGAAGTCAAAGGATTGAGCTTTTGGAAATTTAACTTGAGGCATAACTGTCTTTACTGATGATAGAACCTGAATATTTGATATGTGATAGAGAAAGTTTTGATCTACTTTCCCGCAAAAAATCATGAATAGAAAACGACAAGAAAATTTTTTTATGAGGATTTGCATGCTAAAACGAACTTTTTTTGCCAACTCAATAGTAGTCAATTTTTTGGGTGATGTTGAAGTATAAGGAATAATTATTCCAAGGCGAAAAAAAAATGTTTGTGACTGCGCTGATGCTATGGTGTGCCGCCATGCCACCTGAACGCAAAAATGTGGTAATTCGCTTTCATTCACACAAACTCCTGTTTTTTTTTCTTGCTTCTCCTTTCTGCTTTTTCGCAGCACCATTTCTGCAGAATATACATAACAGTGATACAACAATGATAATGGCCGATTTTGCAATTTCCGGGCAACTTTTTTCCATTAAAATTCCTCTTCGAAAATGTATAGCATACCATTGAGAAGCTGGTTTCGTGCTCTATCCAATAAGTTGTAAGTTAATGAGCTTCAATTTACCGCATCCAAATCCAAAAGTTTCATGGCATTCACTTTTTTGGCCAGAAGTCAAGCCTGTATGAACGGCGTTTCTTCGAAAATTCAACCAGTATATGCAAAAAAATTGTTCATATTACGCACACGTAACCATTTTTTATGAAGTTACCTAGACTGAGACATCGACTCCTCAGCATGGGTAGCCGTTATGCGCTGGTCATTTTGTGACCCATAAATTTCTTTTAATTCTTAAAAGTCAATCGCCAGATTGCTCAGTTCTGTAAGCGTAAAAGGGTAAGGCATCCTGTTGGCAGTTTTTGCAGAAACATCCAGCTATTTAGTATGCAGAAAATCAGAAATTCTTTATTCGGAATTGAGGCATTGAAAAAAATGTAGAAACTGCCAATTTTAGATTTTGATTTTTTTCTTCCGCAAATTTTTTCTGCTCATACCCTTTCCATCTTATTATGTACTACTGGCTTGCGGCTGCAGAACAGGCAATTCAATCATTCATACTAACAAGCTCTGAAAGAAGTCAAGAATTGTTAAAAACATGGTTGTAGAGAAAAGTTTTTTTTTCATCCATATTTTTCTGACCGTTTTTGTGATGCGTGTACAATTGAATATGCGCTGTCTTGCAAAAAGTTTGCTGCTCCTGATGATCTTTATTGCATTCGAAAAGCTAGATTTTTAGAAAGTTATAGCACGTCAAATTATTGAGAATTCGCAAAACGGCCATTATTTTTGCAACAACATAATTCAATCCTTCTCCTTTTTTACAGCCACGTTATCTACATACCCAAACATCTTAAACTACTGTTTTTCAAAGACTGCCTATTCTACGAAGATTCTTGTAAAAAATCTACCGCCTTACTACTTCGCTTGAAACGCTGGCCAGCTGATGCATGCTATTGGTAGTTTTGGACATAAAGCTATTCTGGCGCTATCCCACTATCCGACCCCTAAAGCTTTCAAATCGCGGATTCCAATCAAACTCGTTCAGAAGTTGTTCCATACTGATCACAATGTCACACTCTATTCGCATAAAAAGTTGCGTAAATTCTAAGGGATCAAATTGACGCGTTTGGCTGCGGTATATCGTAAAAGGCGAAAATTGTAGTTTTGTCTGACACCTTCTGCAGTGCGGTTATTTGCAGCGCTGAATACGAAATCGTATTCCTTACGCATGATAAGACCTTTTCATAGATTTGAGGATTTGTTGATGTAGCCCATGGTATGTTTATGTATGCTGTCAGAGCTAATACTGTAACTCCATCTAAGTCGTTGCAACAACGATAAAGCATCGTACTTGCTAACAGCAGGTTAGACTCCCTGCGCACAGTCTTAGCACTTCTTGCGAACTTGATTTTGTACCGTAAACTTACCATAACTCTACATTAACCATTGTTTAGGCCAATAAGCGATTTAGGTAGTGGTTGTAGAGCAACCCTTAGACTAGTTTCACCTTCCGTGATTATAATCTCTTGCGGTACCAAAGATGACGCTTTTAAGTCAAAAAAAGTGGGGCATGCGAGATCAGCATGTCGCGCACCACCCCCTTCCCCTAACCAAAATCAAAATTCAGCATCTGCGATTTTGACCCCCTACGGTATGCCTACTTTAGGGCTGTGTCCAGGCAAATCTGGCGCATGGGTTTTTTGCCTGGAAATTGATGATGGGTCTCAACTAAGGCAGTGCCCAAGAGGCAGCGTGAATGGTTCATTCACGGCTCAGAAATCCGTCTACAAAAACCCCGCACCTGATCGTAACCCGAAAAAAGTACATCGCTCACTTCAACACTACGTACTGGGATCCATCCTAGGTGTTACGGTCACGGCGCAGGCGCGGAGTGTTTGGAGATGGATTTCTCAGCCGTGAATGAATAATTTGCGCTGCGGTTTGGGCAGTGTCTTAGCTAGGACCCCCTCATCATTTTCCAGGCAAAAACCCATGTGCCCAGATTTGCCTGAACACTACCTTTAACATTTCGATGAATTTTCACCAAAACTAAACACGTGGTAACTTCAGATACTTAGTAAGCTAGAGCTTTGTCTACTATTCTTAAAAGGTAATGAGGGCCTTATACTGTCAGTGTCATTGGTATGGTTAAGTTTGGGGCACTCATACAATGTCCATCTTCGTCTTCGCAATCCTGGGTTTCCTTAGAACCAAGATAGAAGGCTGAAATCGTTATAGTGTTCTACTTCATAGACTGTTATGACAGAGGAGTGGACATAATAAGCACATGACCTCACAAGAACTCATCTGAGGCCAACAGTCCAGGATGGGGACGGCAAACACGGATTATGCAATGACACACATGATCATATGAAATGTCTCGACTGTGGTATCGTCGAGCGGCCCCAATCCCACGCAGTCGACAATGGCCGCACCGCCAGCGCGCTCTGATCATGTTCCGAGAAGCGATACTTTATTCCAGGTTTCCCCTCACTTAGTACCTTTGAGCGAGGAAATGACTGGAGTTGCGGTCAGAGCGCGGTGCAGAGCCCGCTTGCGCGGCAACGCTGCCAATGAGACATTACATAATAACAAAGTGCAGGGGAAAGGTCGGACAGCGTATCAACATCCCTTCTAAAAATGCGTTCAAATCTACTAAAGACATGACTTTACATATAGATAATACGCATAACCCTTTAGGACTGAACAGGCGATATATGAGGATGGAGTGGCAATACTGTTACTGGAACTTCGCGAAAAAGACGAAACTAGGATAACGTGTGTAGCTCAAAACGAAATGGGAAGCTGCACGACTACTGCAAAGGTCACCGTCCAAACCAATGAGGAGGAAATGACACTGTCAGAGGGAAAACCTGGACCTGGGAGCAAGCCATTATCTCTTGGAGGTACCGAACATAACGAAAAGTTTTCCTCTGCCATTGACAGGCCTGGGTCTTACGACGAAAAGTTTGCAGCACCTGAGGAAAAATACGAATGTGAAACACAAGAAAAAACAAAAAAGCAGACACTTCAGGAAAGGGAACAAAGAGATGAGATTTCCACAACCCCGCCAACTACAGTCGTGCAAGTTAGTGAAAAGGAGATTTCTGTGCCTGAAGAGAAACCAAAACCCGAAGCTGAGAAGAAGGTAGAGGAAGCTGTTGTGGAGACCAAGGAATTAGTCATTTTGGAGAAAGAAGGAGAAGCCACCATCGTTGTCGAAGTGGAGTTCAGAAAACAAGAGGAGAGTTCCGGTCTTGAAATCGACCTTCTTGTCAACGCTTATGAGAGTAACACTATCACCGCTCCAGCAGCGCCAAAGAAGAAGGTTGCGGAGGTTGCGCAGCAAGCAGCACCTGCAGAAAAGATAGAAGAGATCTCCGTTGAGAAAACAGAGCAGAAGGAAGCGATCACGACTACAGCTCCTGCACCAGAATTGCAAGAAATCGAAAAGCAGGTTCCACTACCAGAAGAGAAACCAAAGCCCGATATTCTTGAGAAGAAAGAGGAGATTACCACAGCCGCGCCCACAACAGAAGTGCAAGTTAGTGAAAAGGAGATTTCTGTGCCTGAAGAGAAACTAAAACCCGAAGCTGAGAAGAAGGTAGAGGAAGCAGTTGTGGAGACCAAGGAGGTAGTCATTCTGGAGAAAGAAGGAGAAGCCACCATCGTTGTCGAAGTGGAGTTCAGAAAACAAGAGGAGAGTTCCGGTCTTGAAATCGACCTTCTTGTCAACGCTTATGAGAGTAACACTATCACCGCTCCAGCAGCGCCAAAGAAGAAGGTTGCGGAGGTTGCGCCGCAAGCAGCATCTGCAGAAAAGATAGAAGAGATCTCCGTTGAGAAAACAGAGCAGAAGGAAGCGATCACGACTACAGCTCCTGCACCAGAATTGCAAGAAATCGAAAAGCAGGTTCCGCTACCAGAAGAGAAACCAAAGCCCGATATTCTTGAGAAGAAAGAGGAGATTACCACAGCCGCGCCCACAACAGAAGTGCAAGTTAGTGAAAAGGAGATTTCTGTGCCTGAAGAGAAACCAAAACCCGAAGCTGAGAAGGTAGAGGAAGCAGTTGTGGAGACCAAGGAAGTAGTCATTCTGGAGAAAGAAGGAGAAGCCACAATCGTTGTCGAAGTGGAGTTCAGAAAACAAGAGGAGACTTCCGGTCTTGAAATCGACCTTCTTGTCAACGCTTATGAGAGTAGCACTATCACCGCTCCAGCAGCGCCAAAGAAGAAGGTTGCGGAGGTTGCGCCGCAAGCAGCACCGGCAGAAAAGATAGAAGAGATCTCCGTTGAGAAAATAGAGCAGAAGGAAGCGATCACGACTACAGCTCCTGTACCAGAATTGCAAGAAATCGAAAAGCAGGTTCCACTACCAGAAGAGAAACCAAAGCCCGACATTCTTGATAAGAAAGAGGAGATTACCACAGCCGCGCCCACAACAGAAGTGCAAGTTAGTGAAAAGGAGATTTCTGTGACTGAAGAGAAACCAAAACCCGAAGCTGAGAAGAAGGTAGAGGAAGCAGTTTTGGAGACCAAGGAAGTGGTCATTCTGGAGAAAGAAGGAGAAGCCACCATCGTTGTCGAAGCGGAGTTCAGAAAACAAGAGGAGACTTCCGGTCTTGAAATCGACCTTCTTGTCAACGCTTATGAGAGTAGCACTATCACCGCTCCAGCAGCGCCAAAGAAGAAGGTTGCGGAGGTTGCGCAGCAAGCAGCACCTGCAGAAAAGATAGAAGAGATCTCCGTTGAGAAAACAGAGCAGAAGGAAGCGATCACGACTACAGCTCCTGCACCAGAATTGCAAGAAATCGAAAAGCAGGTTCCACTACCAGAAGAGAAACCAAAGCCCGATATTCTTGAGAAGAAAGAGGAGATTACCACAGCCGCGCCCACAACAGAAGTGCAAGTTAGTGAAAAGGAGATTTCTGTGCCTGAAGAGAAACCAAAACCCGAAGCTGAGAAGAAGGTAGAGGAAGCTGTTGTGGAGACCAAGGAATTAGTCATTTTGGAGAAAGAAGGAGAAGCCACCATCGTTGTCGAAGTGGAGTTCAGAAAACAAGAGGAGAGTTCCGGTCTTGAAATCGACCTTCTTGTCAACGCTTATGAGAGTAACACTATCACCGCTCCAGCAGCGCCAAAGAAGAAGGTTGCGGAGGTTGCGCAGCAAGCAGCACCTCCAGAAAAGATAGAAGAGATCTCCGTTGAGAAAACAGAGCAGAAGGAAGCGATCACGACTACAGCTCCTGCACCAGAATTGCAAGAAATCGAAAAGCAGGTTCCACTACCAGAAGAGAAACCAAAGCCCGATATTCTTGAGAAGAAAGAGGAGATTACCACAGCCGCGCCCACAACAGAAGTGCAAGTTAGTGAAAAGGAGATTTCTGTGCCTGAAGAGAAACTAAAACCCGAAGCTGAGAAGAAGGTAGAGGAAGCAGTTGTGGAGACCAAGGAGGTAGTCATTCTGGAGAAAGAAGGAGAAGCCACCATCGTTGTCGAAGTGGAGTTCAGAAAACAAGAGGAGAGTTCCGGTCTTGAAATCGACCTTCTTGTCAACGCTTATGAGAGTAACACTATCACCGCTCCAGCAGCGCCAAAGAAGAAGGTTGCGGAGGTTGCGCCGCAAGCAGCATCTGCAGAAAAGATAGAAGAGATCTCCGTTGAGAAAACAGAGCAGAAGGAAGCGATCACGACTACAGCTCCTGCACCAGAATTGCAAGAAATCGAAAAGCAGGTTCCACTACCAGAAGAGAAACCAAAGCCCGATATTCTTGAGAAGAAAGAGGAGATTACCACAGCCGCGCCCACAACAGAAGTGCAAGTTAGTGAAAAGGAGATTTCTGTGCCTGAAGAGAAACCAAAACCCGAAGCTGAGAAGAAGGTAGAGGAAGCAGTTGTGGAGACCAAGGAGGTAGTCATTCTGGAGAAAGAAGGAGAAGCCACCATCGTTGTCGAAGTGGAGTTCAGAAAACAAGAGGAGACTTCCGGTCTTGAAATCGACCTTCTTGTCAACGCTTATGAGAGTAGCACTATCACCGCTCCAGCAGCGCCAAAGAAGAAGGTTGCGGAGGTTGCGCCGCAAGCAGCACCTGCAGAAAAGATAGATGAGATCTCCGTTGAGAAAACAGAACAGAAGGAAGCGATCACGACTACAGCTCCTGCACCAGAATTGCAAGAAATCGAAAAGCAGGTTCCACTACCAGAAGAGAAACCAAAGCCCGACATTCTTGATAAGAAAGAGGAGATTACCACAGCCGCGCCCACAACAGAAGTGCAAGTTAGTGAAAAGGAGATTTCTGTGCCTGAAGAGAAACTAAAACCCGAAGCTGAGAAGAAGGTAGAGGAAGCAGTTGTGGAGACCAAGGAGGTAGTCATTCTGGAGAAAGAAGGAGAAGCCACCATCGTTGTCGAAGTGGAGTTCAGAAAACAAGAGGAGAGTTCCGGTCTTGAAGTCGACCTTCTTGTCAACGCTTATGAGAGTAGCACTATCACCGCTCCAGCAGCGCCAAAGAAGAAGGTTGCGGAGGTTGCGCCGCAAGCAGCACCTGCAGAAAAGATAGAAGAGATCTCCGTTGAGAAAACAGAGCAGAAGGAAGCGATCACGACTACAGCTCCTGTACCAGAATTGCAAGAAATCGAAAAGCAGGTTCCACTACCAGAAGAGAAACCAAAGCCCGATATTCTTGAGAAGAAAGAGGAGATTACCACAGCCGCGCCCACAACAGAAGTGCAAGTTAGTGAAAAGGAGATTTCTGTGCCTGAAGAGAAACCAAAACCCGAAGCTGAGAAGAAGGTAGAGGAAGCAGTTGTGGAGACCAAGGAGGTAGTCATTCTGGAGAAAGAAGGAGAAGCCACCATCGTTGTCGAAGTGGAGTTCAGAAAACAAGAGGAGAGTTCCGGTCTTGAAATCGACCTTCTTGTCAACGCTTATGAGAGTAACACTATCACCGCTCCAGCAGCGCCAAAGAAGAAGGTTGCGGAGGTTGCGCAGCAAGCAGCACCTGCAGAAAAGATAGAAGAGATTTCCGTTGAGAAAACAGAGCAGAAGGAAGCGATCACGATTACAGCTCCTGTACCAGAATTGCAAGAAATCGAAAAGCAGGTTCCACTACCAGAAGAGAAACCAAAGCCCGACATTCTTGAGAAGAAAGAGGAGATTACCACAGCCGCGCCCACAACAGAAGTGCAAGTTAGTGAAAAGGAGATTTCTGTGCCTGAAGAGAAACTAAAACCCGAAGCTGAGAAGAAGGTAGAGGAAGCAGTTTTGGAGACCAAGGAAGTAGTCATTCTGGAGAAAGAAGGAGAAGCCACCATCGTTGTCGAAGTGGAGTTCAGAAAACAAGAGGAGAGTTCCGGTCTTGAAATCGACCTTCTTGTCAACGCTTATGAGAGTAACACTATCACCGCTCCAGCAGCGCCAAAGAAGAAGGTTGCGGAGGTTGCGCCGCAAGCAGCATCTGCAGAAAAGATAGAAGAGATCTCCGTTGAGAAAACAGAGCAGAAGGAAGCGATCACGACTACAGCTCCTGCACCAGAATTGCAAGAAATCGAAAAGCAGGTTCCACTACCAGAAGAGAAACCAAAGCCCGATATTCTTGAGAAGAAAGAGGAGATTACCACAGCCGCGCCCACAACAGAAGTGCAAGTTAGTGAAAAGGAGATTTCTGTGCCTGAAGAGAAACCAAAACCCGAAGCTGAGAAGAAGGTAGAGGAAGCAGTTGTGGAGACCAAGGAGGTAGTCATTCTGGAGAAAGAAGGAGAAGCCACCATCGTTGTCGAAGTGGAGTTCAGAAAACAAGAGGAGAGTTCCGGTCTTGAAATCGACCTTCTTGTCAACGCTTATGAGAGTAACACTATCACCGCTCCAGCAGCGCCAAAGAAGAAGGTTGCGGAGGTTGCGCAGCAAGCAGCACCTGCAGAAAAGATAGAAGAGATTTCCGTTGAGAAAACAGAGCAGAAGGAAGCGATCACGATTACAGCTCCTGTACCAGAATTGCAAGAAATCGAAAAGCAGGTTCCACTACCAGAAGAGAAACCAAAGCCCGACATTCTTGAGAAGAAAGAGGAGATTACCACAGCCGCGCCCAC